CGTCCTTGCGGTATACGCGTGTGTGTGTGTGTGTGTGTATGTGTGAGGATGAGAGGCGGCAGCAGCCGCAGCTGAAGGAAGCTAGCAGCAGGAGCAGGAGCCGGATCAGGATCAGGCGGGGAACGCTACCGAAGACAACGACGACGTGGCACGAAGAGCACAAACAGCAAACGTGATGAGCGCATGTGTTTTATCTTCAATCTCAGCTGAAATCATCTAGCCGTCGCCGCCGACGCCGTCAACCCCACCGAAAAATCCCAACCCAACCCCACTCTCCCTCCGATGGGGCATCTCTCGACCCTGGGGGCGGTGGTGGCATTATGAAGGGCAATAGGTTGTGTGCGACTTTTGTGGACTCTCCTCGGGTCGGCCATCGGTGTCGGGATAAAGTTCGGGTTGTCGGGTCGACAAACGCCTTCGGCTGTGACTTAGCTCTGACCAAGTCACTAAGCCAGTCCCAGCCAGGACACCACTGTCCCTCCCCCCCCCACTTTCCCACCGGACTCCCCCGTTCCCCACACTACCCACTCCCCGTTTTTGGCGCTTTGTAACATCTAGAAATTTGTACATCCGCCAGTGGGAAGAAGATTTTAATTAAAAGCAGCAGGAAATGTGACCCAAATAATACTTCCGTATAGTGTGAAAAATTGGCCCCGCCGCCGTCGTCGTAGCCCAGCTATTTGCCATTTTCTTCCGCCAACGAGCAGGACATCATCATCATCATCATCACAGGACACACTCACACCGGGCGGGCAAGGGGGGCATTGGCTGCCTAATTTGTCGCAGGACAACCGGCCGCCTGCAGGGCGAGCGTTTAGCTGCCAACGGGGCAACGGAATATATATGTTTATATATATAAATAAATATATCTATAAGTATTTGTATAATTTAAGTGATTCCTAAGCTGGCGACCGACAAGCGGAGAAGTGGCCAACAAGCAAGCGGAAAGCGTTTATCCATTGAGTGGAAAATGACACGGGCAAAGCTTCGGATACTTGGCTCCCATATGTGTGTGCCGGGAAAAACTGGATTCCGAATCTGATATATATATATATGTATATAGAAACCCGTGACAAATTTTCTTTGATCGGAGTGTGTTTAATTTCATTATTTTTATACCCCTTGCTCGAAATTATACCCTATAAATGATGCTGAAGAATATATATGACTTATAGGGTCGATAAAGACTCCCTCGTTGGTTAAAAACTTCTGACTAAAGTTATAATACCATTTCTTGAGTCGAAAAATTATGAATAATTTCTATGGCAATTTTTCTACAAATCAAAGCTTAAATATCTCATAACTAAGCCAAAACAGCATTAAATTCGGAAAGCTGCCCAATGTTAGTTTTTACAAGATTAATAAATCTGCATACTCAATATAAAATTTAAGATAATTAAAATTTGAATAAATTTTTCAAAGCTCAATTGTCAAAATTCTAACACTTATAAAATAGTGAAATTTTCTGGACATAGCTAGATCGATCCGGCTGTTAATGCTGATCAAGAATATATATGCTTTATAGGGTCGGAAATGACTCCTTCGTGAGTTACAAGCTTCTGACTAAAATTATAATTAGTAAACGCTTACATACTAAATATGCTTATAAAACATCTGTATACAAATTTTAAAATAATAATAGCTCAAGGAAATACTGTAAGAAACACAGAACAATTAATAATTTATAAATTTGTAGATGTTTTATAAATAAAACTATGTAGCTGACTTCGAGTTCAGAGTCCAAAGTTTATGAAAATTATTTATAAATCTTTAAATAAGAGTCTACAAATAATTCTAAAATATCATTTAAGATCTTCTCGAACTTCTACAGAATCCGAAGCCATTGAAGAAAAACTTGTTTTATGGAAACTGCCCAAGTTATTTCTTAGTCCTCCGTGATAATCGAGGATCGACGGCCTTGAAATGCATTTTCAATTACAAAACTTTGCGATATATAAAGTCCGCTCTCGAGGAAGGGGGAGGAGCGAGTTGAGTTACGTGGCGCTCACTTGGTTATTCTTGGCACGACACAAAATCAATATGGTTACCTTGTCACAGCGTGTCCTTTGACTTCGCTCCGTGTCCTCTTGGCACGCAAGCAGCGTGAAAATGCAGTCAATAGCAAATCGTTGTCAGCAATTAGCGTCCAAGCCCATGATGAAACCCGATCCCCCAGACCGATCCCACCCACCTGACGATGCCGGCCTCCCGCCCAGGTGCTTGGGTTAACCATTCATTCGGCGGCAACACGTGAGCAATGCAGTCTGCTCTCGACTGAAGTGTGCCAAAAAGGATTTGCCACTAACGATGGCAGCACCAGCACCAGCACCAGCAGCACTGCATCTGCAGGACTCTCGAGCGTGTATGCTCATCGTTCTCGCTTTTTACTGCATACCCAGTGTCCTGCCTCCGCCGTCCCTTGCGGACTGCCTCGATTGCCAGCAAAATGGCAAACAAATCGCTGCAAATATTCGCCCAACGTGGCGTATGCGCAATTTTTGCCCAATCCAAGCGAGTGTCTCTCTTCATATACATACGTATGAATGTATGTCTATATATATGCCACACGTATCTGTCTAGCACAAATATTTGATGGCAGTCTGAATCTGAATCTGAATGTGTGTGTGGGTGTGGGTGTGGGTGAGTGTGGACAGAACCATTTGCTGTTGTTGATTTAATTCAACATTTGCCGAATGAAATTTTCATCTTGCCATGACAAAACGGAACGAACGTCTTGGCGACAGCCGCCCATCACACTTATGGGAATATCAATCAAGCGTGAATCCCAGGGATCTGATTTATCAGGGTTTAGGCTTGGTCTCCAGCCGATTCTAGGTATTTTGGGGGGGGATATCTTGAAATATTAGCTCAATTAAAGGATTATATTTAGATTTTTTTTTGTCCAGTTTTAGAGTTGTAAAAATATTATTGTATTACATTAAATATATATATTATTATTGGAGAATATAACTTACACCAAGAATGTATATATCCTTAGCAAAAAAAAAATATTTAAAAAGTACATTTATGCAGAAAATCAATATATGTAGAGGATCAGTAAGTACCTTTCAACAGTAATCAATTATGAGCAGTAAGTAACTATGATCAGTAATTAACTATGACCATCAAGTAACTATGATCAGTAAGTATCTATGATCAGTAAATATCTGTGACCAGTAAGTATCAATGAACATTAAGTAACTATGATCAGTAATTAACTATGACTAGTAAGCACATATATATGCATGACTACTTACTAACTTTGAACACTTAATAAACAATGACTTGCAACTTTTTAACACAACAAATTTCTGAGACTCGCCCGGAAGGAGTCACTTCGTTCCGGGGATGTTTGAACCAGTTGAAAATCATAAACATGTGCGAAATTTGTTTTGGAAGAAATTTAACAGCAAGCCGCTTGAATGAAACTATGAAGTTAATCTTCTATATAATTTTACTAGCATATAAGTCGAAGGATGGCGAATCGGTGGACTATATATATACATATATATGCTGCCATAGGAACAATCGGACGATTTATAGAACTATGATCATTAAGTAACTCTGAACATTAATTAACTATGAGCAGTTACTTCCGTTCTTGTTTTTACTATAAAATAAGACTTAAAGGATTAATTCGAATTAATTTAATAAGGTTTACTTTATTAATTAAGTGAAGTTATAAATTAGATATTCTGCAAACTCATTGTTTAAGTCTATTTATATACTCCTCAGTGAATCGAAATATTGTAAGCTGTTGAGTAGCTTAATAATAGCATCTATATAATTTTGAGCATTGAAAAGGTTTCACACAATTCTTGGTACATCTTTATACTGTTTCATTGTTCCCACACAGCTTCCTTGAATCCTTGCTTCTCGCAGCGCCCTTCAAACTCAATGAAAGTTAATGCATTTCGAATTAAATTGAAGTTCAGGCAATATTCCATCTTGAGTAAATGAAGGTAAGTACAACTAAAGAGTATCCTGATCGTAGTTCTCAAGTGAAATGCCTCTCAGGACACAAAAAGTAAAAGAAACCGATTTATATAATGTTTCAATAATAGATTTAGGCCGCTATTCCCACTCAACAAAGACACCAGAGATAGTGTTACATCTATAAGTATTTGTATATTTATTTTTAATTTATCATCAATTTTCATGTTGCTTGAATTTCAAATACACATCGATTGTTCGTTCCTCTCATCGCATAAATTTAATGTAAGTTTTAAGTAGGTTGTAATATATATATTTATAAACATAACTTTGATTTGCAAGCGATAATAAACAGAATCGGAACGGATTTATCTAAAAAATAAATGTGTCAATATATATATGTATATATATATTTTATATATGCGCTGTTCTCTCATATACATAGATAATATATAACAATTACGATTACAAAAATACACGACAAACAGAGGGTGGGGTAAAGACGTATAGGGGAGGGCGAGGGAAGAGCGGAGGCTTGAATGAAAAATTGATTTCAGAATTTTTAGCTTTCCTGTCGTCGACGACCAAGAGATAGTTTTTTTTTATGATGCAAGCTTTAAATATATATTATTTGTATATCTTTATATATATATATACATATATAAGATCGTTTATATATATGTATATGTATGTGTGTATGCATGCGTTGTGTATTTGTGTGGGGAAGTTGGGAGGTATGCCTATATCGTTTCAATGACTTAAATAACTAGAAAACATCATCATCATCATCATCATCATCATAAGCAGCAGAAGCTTACTTCGTCAGCCTGGTTTCCGTTTTAACTTCTATATCCTTTTCCGGTTTTCTTTTGCAGCCGAATTAATACTCGAAGCCTTGCCCAAATCCTGCAGCTTTTATGCCTTTGCTTATGCTTCTCTCTCTCTCTCTTATTATCCCTTTTCATTCTCTTTCTGTGTCTCTGTTTTGTATCCACTTTTAGCCTAAGTTCCAAGTTCATTTTTTTGCTTTCTTTATATATAAATATTGTTAATGCATTGCATGTGTGTATGTGGTTTCTTGTGTGTGTGTGTTAACATTACAGTTAATTATAATTGTAATAAAGACGACGGCATTCTAGGAATTGTTGATGCACAAAAGCAAATAGTTATTAGGTTAATGCGCTCGTGTGTGTTTGTTTTCATTTGCTTTCTAATTCACCGAATCAAGGGGGATTCCTTCCATCCCTCTCTCATCATCTCCCTCTCTCTGTCTCTCTGTCTCTCTGTCTCTCTGTCTGTGTTTCAGCTTTCTCTGCCTCTTGCTTGAGTTTTCATCGTGATTGATTGATTGATTTCATTTCCCGGATACACGAAGGCACGTCCTTAGTATCTGCTGCTGTTGTTAAACTGCGAATTAATGGCGGTATTGACCGCCGAGGATGCCGCCTCCTGGACATGCTGATTCCGCAGAAACTCCGTGGTGAACTCCGCCTGGGCCTTGGCCATGCTGGCTCCGGTGCTGCGATAGATCGTATGGATCTTGGTGATCATCAGCACATTGGCCACGGCCACCGCCGCGAAGGCAAAGGAGATGTTCAGCAGCAGAATGCCCACAATGATGCCCGACGCCTCGCCATCGAACTGGGCAATGGACGTGATGAAGCCGCAGTAGCCCATCTTCTCGAAGCCCACTGCCTGGACGATCGAGTAGAGGGTTTGAAAGAAGTAAATGAAGAAGAAGACCATGAAGTTGAAGCTCGAATCGTTGCGGAAGGCCTTGTACGCCGGTCGGAACCTGGTAAGCAAAAGGGCAATTTCTTAATATTACATTATAAATTACGTTGGATCTTAATGTCCAATCGTAATGTAGCTATAACGTTTGGATTGACTGGAGCATCTTTGGCCCCAAAGAAGACCTGAAATGTTCGCCTTATTTAAATAGATTTGTATCTATATTTATATGACTATTTTTTCTATAAATAAAAACTTGAAAAACTCATAACTAAGCCAAAAAAGCAGAAAATTCAATTCGAAAAACTGTTCTGTGCTAGTTTTTAACATATTAATAAATCTGCATACTCAATTTTAAACTTAAATCAATTTAAAATTTTTCCAATTTTCAAACCTTTACAGATGTAAAAATTTAATCATAAAATTGCACAAAAAAAATTTCAAAAATTTTTTCCTGTCTAAAATGGCTAGATCGACTCGGCTTTCGATGCTGATCAAGAATATATATGATTTGTAGGGTCGGAAATGGCTCTTTCATATCGAAACAAGCTTCTGAGTGAATTTATAATACCTTTCTTTGAACCGATATTTATCTATATTTATATGACAATTTGTTCTACAAATCAAAATCTAAAAAACTCATAACTTAGCCAAAAAAGCATGAAATTCAACTCGGAAAACTGTTTTGTGCTAGTTTTTGATATATTAATAAATCTGCATACTCAATTTTAAACTTAACGCTTATTAAAATTTTTCCAATTTTCAAAACTTTACAGATGCAAAAATTTAATCATAAAAATACTAAAAAAAATTCAAAAAAATTGTTTCCTGTCTGAGATGGCTAGATCGACTCGGCTTTCGATGCTGATCAAGAATATATAGGGTTTATAGGGTCGGAAATGGCTCCTTTCCTATGCGGCAAGCTTCTGACTAATATTGTTATACCCAGCAAGGGCATAAAAAGGACTAAAACCAAAAGAATCATTGTTATCTAAATTAAATAATTTTTTCAGCTCTTACGAAAAAGAAACCTAAGTCTAAGAAATCGTTATGCTTTTTATAATTAGTGACTCACCAGCAGACATAGGAGGCAGGCGAGAAGAGCAGCGTGTAGAAAATGGCCAGGAAGAAGGTTTCAAATTGGCCAGCATGGAACAGCAAAATGAGACCGCCGATCACGTTGGCCAACAACGTCATGGTGTAAACTGTAACAAGAGCAAGAATTTAGTTTACTTTCAAGGTATTCAGACATGAAATAATAAAAATATATGAGCCCTTGATTTTGAAAGTGGTAATTAGATAAACATTTTAAAAATATTGTTTCCTAATAACATATAATAATCTGTAGAGATTAGAAATTTCAAAATTAAGGACCCAGATATTTAATCTCTATATAATGATTGTTTTAATGTGTTTATAAGCCGCCAAACTGCGTAGCTGTTCAGCTTAAATAACGCCCCGTTTTCTCATTTAAAGAAAGCCCCCATCGCGTCGCTTCTGCACAAACAACGAACACACCTCCGAAGCCATTAGCTCTACATCTATTCTGATTAATCATTTCACCTGACGACCATGGGCAACACGCGATGACTAATCCTAAGGCCACACGGGTCGCCTTATCAGCGACAGACAGAAACAGCTATACTCACAGATCCAAATGTAGTACAAGCGCTTGACCAATTTCTGGAACTCGGGCGGTATCTCCACCTCAAAGTCCTGGTAGAAGCATGGCTTCACACAGAAGTTATCCGGCAGCGGCGGCCAATTGTTCAACTGCGACACATTGCCCTGCAGCTGCTGCTCGCGACGGTCCAGCTCGGCTGCCTTGCGGTCCAGTTCCTCTTGGCGACGCTGAAATATAAATAATACATATAAATAATATATTTAAGAGGAATCCATACTCTATGATCGGAACAGCAGGTAAAACTTTACCTTTGTTCGGCTATTAACAATCAAAGATCATAAAACCATTAAAGTTTGAATTGAAGATAAGGTACAATGGTTGTAATAATGCTAAGTATTAATAATGAGGCTATTTTTATATTTGTAAATCTTTTTCCTTTGTTTAAAGAACACTTGTTTGTACTAGGTAAAACATAGGTAAAAAGTTATGCACAACGATTAATTTATCAATAAATTTATGACGCATAACAAGTATTTACTTTGATTCAATTTGAAAAGCCCATTCTGCAAATAAGCCATGAATGGTTTTGGTTACTGGCAGGTAACAGCCTCTGGTGGGCTTAAGTGAAGCCCGGCAAAGGCTAAGGGAAACCGCAGTCAGTGTGGTACAGTGAAGACCCGCAGCAGCACGCGGCAGCTAATCTTGGCCAGATACAATGAGCCTCATGTCGGATTTATCAGATGATGATCTCCTTATCTGGTTATCTTGCCACGCCACCCGATATGCGGCGTTTTATGGGCGTTGTGAGATTCGTTACAAAGACGCTCGCTGGGGGCCTTCACTGTACTCTCGAGTTTCCCCTCAACTGGCTAACTGGGTTACCTGCAGCTCCTCCGAGGTGATCTGTATGCTGGTGCTCGGCGCCGAGGCGCCCAGCGAACTGGTCTGCGGGGGCGGTACATTCTGCGACAGCGGCTGCACCACCGCCGCCGTGTTCGTCGAGTTGATCTGCAGCTGCGGCTTCGCTTGCTCCTCGAATGGATTGTAGTCCTCCAGGGAGACGAGGGCGCCGCCCTGCAGACGCCGTGCCTGCTGGATGGCGGGGTCCTAAAATGGAGCGGAAGCGGAAGTGGTTCGCAATTTTAGCAAAATTATTTCCCAATAAGTTCAACATATGTGACGAATGCACCCACACCAACACACCCACACACACGCGCACACACGAACGGATACCCCAGCAGTCAGGTCGCCTACGTGTATGTGTGTGTGTCGGTTTTCTTCTCTGCGTTTCACTGCTCTCACCGCAAACGGATTGTCCAGGTTGGGCTCCCCGAAGGGATTCTCGTCGAGACCGGAGCCGGACATGGTGTCTACTCTTGAGTTCGGACTGTGACAAGGGGAAACGCTAGCGATTCGCACTCAACTTTTAGCTGTGGCCTGTGTGTATATTGTATATTTTCCCTGATAACTTGAAAGCTGTGTCATCTAGAGGTGGTCCCGCCTATCGATTGCGCCTATCGATAAGTGCAATCGGGCCGGTATTCGTGGCTGCGCATGGCTAAATAGCGATGGGTGGCGGCGTGTCACGGCGCACGGGCAGCATTAAATCACCACTAACTGGATTTTTAAAGATATTTTCTGAATTCACAATTTAGTTTTCATTAATCCGGACACAACCTTTCACTTCAGCAACGAGCGCGCGACTGGCGCGAGGGAGCGAGATGGCATTGCTTCATATACTGTTTGTGTGGTAGAAGCGAGAGAAGGCTTCTCTTGCGCTCTCGCTTGCTCTACAGAAATGTGCCGTGCCTCTTTCTCTACCGCTCTCGCCCTATCTCTTTCACTCTCTTTCTCTTTGGAGATAAAAAATACCACGTCAGCCGATGTGCCATCTATAGCTGCATTAAACTAATCGGTGCGGTGGACCATACCTAGCGTGAGAATGTAAACAAACCAACCAGGTGGCAACTCTGTAGCACATATTTCGCTGTGAGAATAAATAATTAGCAATTCTCGGCTCTGATTTCGTAAATAATAGTAGATGAGAGCAGCGAAACGAACGAGAAAACATTCATAAACCAAAGCACAATGGCTGATCGTGCGATCAAGCTCCTGGTGATCGGGGAGAGTGGCGTGGGCAAGTCCAGGTGAGTCCAGCTTCGTTTCGTTATTATATATATTTTGCTGCGTATATTGCGCGCTTGCATCATTGTTTTCTATTTTTTCTATAATAAAACTTCCCTACCCCCGTCTTCACCCTACAGCCTGATACGTCGCTTTGTGGAGAACAAGTTCGATGATAACCATGACGTCACGATCGGCATGGACTTCAAGAGCAAGGTAATGAACGTAGACGGCATCGACTATAAGGTGGCTTTGTGGGACACGGCGGGCGCGGAACGCTTTCGCAGTCTGACGCCAAGCTTCTACCGGAAGGCGCTGGGTGCCATACTGGTCTACGACATCACCAGCCGGGACTCGCTGGTGAAGCTGGAGACGTGGCTGGCGGAGCTGGACAGTTACAGTGACAATCCAAACATAGCCATCATTGTGGTGGGCAATAAGATCGATCAGGAGCGGGAGGTGGATCGCGAGGAGGGCCGCAAGTTTGCCCGCAAGCATCGAGCACTCTTCATCGAGACGTCGGCAAAATGCGATCAGTTTGTGAGCGATGTGTTCAAGGATATCGTGGAGAAGGTGGGTTGCCAGCAACTCTAGATAATATTCCTCTTGTAACTCATCTTAATCTTCTATAGATTGTCTCCTCGGAGTACTTTAACAATGGCAACGGCTCGACGGGCATGGACATTGGCGGTGATCGGGATCTGGAGGCAAGCGCTTCCTCGTGTTACTGTTGATATCCGGCTGTGTGTTTAGTGTCCCTTCGTCAAACAAATTTCTAGCGTGTATTTATTAATCGTTCAATATCATAGCATAAAGCCAAAACCTCAACGTTTAATCTTATACAATTCTTCAAAGTTGATCCGGGAATCAATAGGATACACGTATTTACCAAATTTTCTGTGTGATCATTGGAGGCTTCCCTATATCAGAAAGTTTCCTTTTAAATACATCTATGTATGTGTCTTGCATTTTTCTGTAATCTCTCCGTAATTTGTTTTTGTTATCGTTGAGGTGGAGTCCGTTTAGTTAATGCCCTTAAATGTGTACTAAAATTTGTATAATAAGTACCCACAGCAATTTAATCGATTTAAGTCCCAACTAACAACTTGTTTATAAATTAAAGAAATTACTCATTCTTAAATTGAGTTCATTTCATCATTGGTATTGTGAAAGCTATCAGCGGTTGATCAGAGTTCAAGCAGATACAACACGTATGCGTTAAAAGTCTCTCTTAACTTGGATTTTCATCTTGTTTTTCTGTAACTCTCTTTAAAAATAAACTTGAAGATGAAGTTTATCCATATTCAGTGCCTGAAGAACCTCAAATAATTAATTAATAGCTAAAATACTTTCAGTTATTGTAAACCCATGCCTAAGACTTAATTTATTGCCCTTCGTCTGAGGAAATCAAAACTCCATTAGTGACTTTTCTTTTCAATGTTTTTATTTAAATGAAGACAATTATTTATTTTTATTTCTATTGGCTCTCAAGTAAAACATGGTTCTTGTTGGAATTTGAAAAAAAATTTAAAAGTAATGATGCCAAGTGCGTAGAGTTGGTAAGAAACAAAGAAAAGTAAGGGAAACCAATACGTACTTCGGTTGGTGTCTCTATGTACGGTTTCTGTTTGTTTTCTTTGTTTATTTGTTGCTTCTGCTTGCTGTTCATGATTGTTTCGTGTCTCTTTTGTTTTTAAACGCGAGTTTAGTGGGTGTATTTACAAATATCGATGATTAATTTTAGCCATTAATGCTACAGCAAGGTGGGATCGTGGGCACATCGTAAAGGGTGGCGGCTATTCTTTCCTCCTGGCTGCTTACACTCTTTTGTTGGCTTGGAAGAGCGAGAAAGCAAGACCAGAAACACGCCCTGTATGTACAAAATCTGTTGTAAATCGTATTGGTTCCGCCTCCTTAGGATGCTGCCCTTCGATCCTTACCCCGTACCCCGCCCAAGTTCCCCAGTGGTTAGCGGGTAACTGCCTCTCCTCCTTACTCCTCTATCATCTATTTACCCCCAATGCCGCTCTTCTTGGCATCCACTTCGTAGATGAGCAGTCGCCACATTTTCACCACAAAGACCTCCGCCTCCTCATCCAGTACCTGTGCGCCAGCGAATTAGAGTGAGAGGGAAGAGAAGCAGGGATTAGTTTCAATTCGTACACCATCAGGAAGAGATTTAATTGAGCACTCACCATTTGGACATCGTCGAGGATGCTCTGGGGCGGGCTGCCGGCCAACACTTTGGAACATATAAAGTCCACCAGGGTCGGCTCGGGCTCACCGATATACTCGATGATTTTCTTATTGATCCATGGACGTATCTTGCGTTCCATTAGACCGCTGTCGATCTCGTTGCGATCGAGCTTATAATTAAATAGCTCCTCCTTTTGCGTGGGTATCCTGTCAATAATGCTTTTTATATGCCGCCGTTTTTCATCATACACCTTAGCACCATTCTCATCCCTTTTGCTGCTCGCAGCGGCAGCATCTGCGCTGCTGCTACTGCTCGCAGATGCAGCTGCCTCATTCTTACCGTGTTTGCTGGCGGAGCTGCTGCTGCTGTTGCTATTATGTTTGTTGCTGCTGCTGCTGCTGCTGCCGTTGTTCTTGCCGGAACTGGAGCCGGAGCCGGTGCCAGCCAGGGCTATCTTTTGGCTAACGGCAGCTGCGGCAGCGGTGGCCGCTGATACCGCGGAGCTCTGGCGATCCGCGGAGCTCATATTGTTGCTACTGTTGCTGCTGTTGTTGTTCGCAGGGTGGGCGGACGATGGCGTACTGTTGCTCATGTTGTCGTCGTAGTCTGCGGATGGATGGATAGGAAGCTTTAGTTAGAAGAGATCCCTGGGAAATGGTCAATGGAGAGGTTGCACTCACCTAGCGGCACTAGTTTGCGCTTCTTGGGATTAATATTCTCATCGTTGTCATCGTCATTCACAAAGACGCCAGTGGCCTCGATCTTCTTCTTCTTGAGATTGTTGCCCAGCGTCAAGGAGATGAGCGGCATGGTTACGGGCGGCGTGGCCGAGGGCAGGTGGGGATCTAGCGATGCCTGGTGATCATTCAGCATGGCACTCTGCGTGGGCGTGTGGATGTGGGCCAGGGAGTCGCGCGATTCGCTGTTCTGCCGGCTCAAGCTGTCCGACAGGGACTTATCATTGTTATTGTTGTTCTTGGCATAGCCACTGGCATTCGAGGCAGTGTCGGCCATGGAGTCATGGCCATCGTGGCCATCGTTCGATATGGAATTGTCATCTTCACCGGCCAGATCCGGATTGTAGCTGTCGGGCGGCTGATTCTTGCGGCCCTCGGCCAGCTTTGGCTGTGTCGTTGCCGAATCCGCCCCCATTTCTAGATTCACATTGATCAGAATGCGTGGCTCGTACAGCTTCTCGATCTCGCGTCGCGCCTTCTCGTACTCCAGCGATGGATTCTCGTATTCACCGCTGAAGAACTTGGTCTTGAGCTCGGCCAGCTCGTCGGCCTCCTTCTCACGGTCCTTGGAATCCGCGTCTGCTTCGCGCACTCGCTCCGCCAGGCGCTGCTGCAGTTCGCGGCCGCGGTAATACAGCGAATCATCGCGCTCATCGTCGTAGTCCTCAACGAACTCCTTCAGGCGCTTGGCATCGCTCTCACGCTCCTCCTGCCGCAGCAGCTCCTTGAGGCGGTACTGCAGGGGAGTAAGAATGTGTTAGTTAAGCTAATGTTAAATCGAAGAAGAACTCCCAAACTTACCTTCTCGTTCTCCTTGGCCCTGCGCTTCTCGCGTATCTCCCAGTTGGAAAGGCGCTCCTGGTAGGCGGCCTCCTTTTCACGCGCCTTCTTCTCGGCCTTCTTGCGCTCCCGTATCTCCTCCTCCATTTCCTTTTCGCGCCGCGAATCCATCAGTGGCTTCAGCCGTTTCTCCTCCCGCTCCCGCTCACGTTCACGATCCCGTTCGCGCTCCCTCTCCCGCTCGCGTTCCCGTTCCCGCTCTCTCATCTCCACGCGTTCCCTTTCGCGTTCTCGCATCTCAACGCGCTCCCGCTCCCGTTCACGCTCCCTCTCACGCTCTCGTTCGCGCTCCCTTTCCCGCTGCTCACGGATCTCCTGTTCCCGGTCACGCTGGCGGTCTTTGGAGCGCGACTTGGAGCGACGGCGTCGCCGCTCCTTGGAGTCGGAGCGACGCTCCTTGTGTGTAATATCAATGACGCCGGGCTCCTTGCGACGACTGGCAGCGGCGGTGGTGGAGGAGGAGGACTCCTTGAGGTCCTTGACGGTAGCCATGTCCTTGACTACAGTCGAATCCTTGGCTATGGACGATGACGTCGTCTCCTTGTCGACAATCGATACATCCGAATCACCGCCAGCAGCGGCAGCACCTCCAGCTGAGGCGGAGGATGAGGCATTTGTGGCACTGGCAGAAGCGGTGACAGCATTGGCCGAGGACGAGGAGGAGCCTAATGCTGCTGCGGTTGAGCTGTTGCTGCTGCTGGATTTGCTGGTCGACGACTTACGTTCACTCTCACGCTGCGCCTTCTTGCGCTCCTTGTCGCGCTCCTTCTCTTTGCTGGCCGCCAGCTTCTCCTTTTCCTTTTCCTTCTCCAGCTCCTTGCGATGCTCGTCGGCCTCGGCCCGCTTCCGGAACTTCCCGATCTCGCTGCTTATGAGGTTGCGCTTTTCCTCCTCCAAGGCATTGTCGTTCAGCACCTTGATCTTGATGTCGTCCTCGCGTCGGGTCTTCTTATTACGATTGGTGCTGCCATAGAGATCATTACGATTGCTGCCATCGAAGCCGTCGAACTCGTGTTTGTGCTCCTCGAGCAGATCGTGCATCTTGCCAATGGCATACTGGTCCTCGGTCTTCTCATCCACCGAATTGGATCGGTCGCCGTTCTTGCACTCCTGCTCTTTGTAGTCCTCGATGAGCACCTTGTTCTTGGCATCCACTTTGGCCACCAGCTTCTTGCCATCGATCTCCATTTCGCTGAGCAAGCGTACGGCACGCATGGCTGCAATGGGGCCGCTGCAAGAGAGATTTATAGCATTTAGGTTAGACATTCAAGGGATTGATGCTTTCTTAACCCACTCAAATTCGCAGAAACCAAAGGTGGAGACTCGCTTCCAGTTGATCACAACGCCGCAGGTGGAGAGGATGCGCTTCAACAGCACCTCCGGCACACGTTCACTGATGTTGCCCACAAAGACGGTGATGATGGGGCCGCGGAACTGTGGCTGCGGCTCCGGTGGACGATGGTACACCTGCGGCTGTGAGCTGATCGTGGCCGAGTTCCGAAAGTTGCGCGGCGGCGCATTCCCCATGTTCGGCATCATCTGAAAAGCGGATAAAAGAACCTCCTTTAACATCCAGGATCCCGAGTTTTCGATGGCGATTTGCCTTACGTGCGGCGGCGGTATCGAGGCATTCATAAACGGCGGCATGGGCGCCCCCCGTGGCGGGTACGACATATTGTCCCTTTTGAGCTCCTTAGATGCCCAATTTTTTACGAAAATCCTTCAAAAACTAACAACTTTTAGCGTGTTTGCAAAAATAAAAGAAAAAAATTAAAGCCGACAGTTCACACACACAGGGGCACACACGTACAGGCACACGCACAACCACACGCAGGCTGGCTGGTCGCAAACGCCACACGGAGTGGGAATGTGAATGTGCTGTGTGTATTTGGAGGCGCTCTGAGCCTGCGTCCTCGAGGATCACTGAGAATGCAATCGCCCGATGTCCAATTCGGCTTGCCGGCTGTTGCAGGCAGGGGCTGGTTACACCGGCGCTGGAGAAATGTGCACGTAAATTAAAGGAAATTACCGAATTTTCACAAAACTCTGCAGGCCGCTGTTCTAGTGGTGGAAGCTGCGCGAGCAAGCTGCTATCGGTTCGTGGCGTACGAAAAAATCGATGGTGCCGATAGTTCGACAGACGTTCCCAAGTCCGATGTCTGGCAACGCCGGGAAATGTTTTTCAACACTTTTTAGAGGCTGATAAATTAATTTTATATTTATATATTTGAAATTTTTGTATTTTACGCAATTTTCCAAAGCTTCTTTTATTTTTTTTTTGAGTCTACAGGCCCTTCCTATACCAAATAGATCATTTGTAAGGTTTTGGCTTCAATTCAAATTAAATTTAAATTAATCATAAACCGTTAAATTCTATGAAGACAACAATTTAATTTGAGACATGGCCTTCTTTAAGCATTATACAATTTCGGCTTTATTTTATTGACGTTACTTGTTTTTTTCTTAATTTCAATATTAATATTTACGCTTATTTTATATAATGTATGTTAAAACATATCCATGTATTTGTGAACTATGGCATATAGCCCGCAGTCCTTGTTGCGGAACCAAACATCCTCTGGCCGGATTTGAACTCGCCTCAAGGCTTCTTCCGAGCGGTCCTTGATCCTGGGATCCTGATCGTCGAAGCGCAGCAAGCAGGAACCCTTGCACATGCCATGCTCATCGAACTCGTAAACCACCAAATAAAAGAAGGGTTCGCCCGGACAATTGAAGGATTCGCGCAACTCCAACAATTTCACTGACGACGGATGTGGCTGCGAGTCCTCGAGTTCAATCGCTTCCGCCTGCGGTAGCGATACCATAGGGCTCATGGAATCCTGGCTGGATGCAATGGATTGCCGGTTGTCGTTGGGAATCACTGTGACGGCGCTGGCATCTATGCTGTAATCCGTCTCATCCTCGGAGAACACGGGACCCTGGGATTCGGAGAATCGGGAGCCTGGCAGTTGTGGCCCCTCCTTGGTCACGAAGAGCGCGTTGTCCACTCTATCCTCCTTATTGGTTTCCAGGCTTAAGGCGGAAGACCGCCCCAGATTTCTCTCCTCCAGATTCTTCTCCAACTTCTGACAATCGATGCACTTGAACTCGATGGGTTCCGGTACCTTAGCCAGCTGCATTGACTTCGCCAAGCATCGGGCATGTGCCCCCGTGGAGCCACACACCTTGCAGGCGTATATGAACCAGATATTCTTGTTGTAAGCTCTGCCATGTTTACAAAGGCAATCCTTCTCGTCGCAGCGAATGCTTCGCCTGTGGAGCTCCCGGTAGGCATCCTTCTGCCGCTCCCATTCCGCATCACGATCAGGAACAAAGATGCCCTGCAATCGTATGCTGTCCCGGAACTTAGACGAGCGACACCAGATGCAGGAGAGGTAGTAGCCCGAGGAAACGGCGTACCTTCGCATGCACATCTTGTGGACGAAGCCCAGACGACAGCACTCGGGGAACACGACGGTATGGAGCCCGAAGAGCACAATTGGCTCCATGCAGATGTCGCAGGTGGCGCCTGTGGGTGGATGGTCCACCAACTGCTGCCTGTATTCATCCATCGGCGGACAGTCGCCGCAGTAGCTGTGGAACTGGCCAGCGAACTGCAACGTGCAACAATTAACGATGGTGCAGACAAGATCGAAGTACTTCCCACAATTATTGCACTGGATGGTGGCCCCCGGTGTTTCACAGTAGCAGCAGATCCTTTTCTGGGCGTCTGCTACCTCCTTGCGGATGTCACGTACCAGGAAGCCCATTATTCCGCTGGAGTCGTTGCCCCGCTGCTGCAGATTGGTGGACAGGAGCTGGCATAGAAGAAGGGAACATCAGTGAGTTTTAATATTATTTCAGGTAGCTTAGGTACTTACCAGACAGAAGTAGTGCACCGTCAGATTCATGCGCCGCATCCACTCGCCAAAGACCAGAGTGTCGTCGCCACTGTCACGACTTGATTTCCTGCAAATATCGCAGGTTACCATCTCGGCTGAGTTGGTCTCCATTTCCGGAATTCCTTGCCGTAGCCGGAAAATGCGAAATATGAAAACACGGCCAGCTTATTAAGATCCTGAGGATCACCGATCATTAAGAGATGGAAGCCGCAAGCTTGCTGTTATCGATAGAACGATAGAACTATCGTGAGCGGTATTTTGCCGGCAATGGGAATTATTCAAAACCTTTGGCACTCTCTCGATCCGAAGTTCTAATGGTTGAAAAATTAACGGACGAACAAATGGCAATCTCAATATATAGCACATAATAAATACATTATTTGTTAAAAAAAAGGAAAACATTAATTTTGATGACAAAATTGTCTTTGCAGGAGCAAAAACAATAACAAATTTCTCTCTCTCTCTCTCCCGGTACAAAAACCACCATAAACAATTTCTCGCTGCGCAGAAACTACATCATTTTTGCGCAAAGAGAGAGAGAGAGGAAGAAAGAGTTTTTATTGTTTGCTTTCAGTTTTGACCACTGTTTGACTGCTAATTAAAAAGCAGTGCGTTATTGTTTATATTAAGTAAGCCATAATTAGCAGTCCTTATTTAAATACATGTTTTTGTTTCTTATTGTGTTTCTATCTATATTTTATAATTCAATAAAAAAAACTTTAATATAAAATATAAATATCTTTATATAAAATTTAAATATAAACAAATTTATAAAAATGATTTCATTTGTTCAGGAAATAGGACATGACATGAATTGTTCTTAATTTCTTTTCTTTGTTGATTTGGAAACAAATAACACCATAGTTTGCATACCCTTATCCCTTTACCACACAGCAAATTTTAGGACAAATACTAATAAATTAAGTTAATAAAGTTAATACCTATTAATATTTGATTAATAATAATAATACCCTCAAATTACCCTCTGTGGTGAATTGCAGTGTGGTTTTGTTTGGTGCCTAAAAGTATGCAATAAATTGTTGTTCTTTTCGAATCTTAGGTGCAAGTAATATCAGACTTTGTTATTAAATTTGTACTTCGTAATATATTTCAAAAAATATTTTGCTAAAAAGTGGACTTAAAAAATGCGACGCACTTACGTGCTTCACAGGACCTTCTGCACTCCGTCTGCACGGCGCACTTGACTTTCTACCCTACTTTCTATGGGTCGCTTCTACGTCGCGAAACCGCGGATTACGGCTGGCGATTACGGCGAACTCGAAACTTTGGAAAACAAAGCAATTGGAATCCGGTCAAGTGCGTTGTTGTATTCCATGGCAGTAGTGTTGTAGTGGCGTTCGACAACCACCGCTGGCGTTACACCGTGGGCATCGCAGTCACAGTTACCGGCTGCCCCGACGGCAGCTGCGCACAGAGAGGCAGAGGCTGTGTGTGGCGCAGCTCATTTTGATTTCGATTTGGGATTCCGCTTGCGGACGCCGCCGCGTCTTCCTCATTCTAAATTTAAGTGCCGCTGGAGCAGCAGGAGTCGCGGCACTCGGCATAGCAATACAAGTGAATCGAGCACAAGACCCGTGGTTGTTCGGGCGGAAACGGAAACGGGAGCAACGGAATACCGGAACACGAACCGTAACAGATTTTAGCTCCTTCGTGTATTTGTTGTTTTTTTTTTGTGTGTTGTGTGTGTACATAACGGTACTCTCTGACTTACTTTTACAAAAGTGTAAAGAAAAGTAAACAAATTAAAAATGGTAGCTGCGGAAATGCTAAACAATTTATTGTTATTACAATTTACAATTAATAATTATTGTGACTGTGTTATTTTTTTCCATTTACGCAAATGTTACTTTACACCCCCCTTTCCCCTTTATTCCAGTTTTCCCTACCCTTTCCCTGCCCCCTTTATCTTCTCCTACTGCCTCCTTTCCCCCACCTCCTTGCTTCCTACTACGCACTTTCACGCTCACACACACACACACACACACACACACAAACACACAGATTATTGCGTAAAAAGCCAAGTGCGCAGCTAACTGCACTAGTCCTGCCACGCCCCTTCGCCCACATCTCTGGAGTCCTGGTCCAGGACTAGCAAGAGGAGGAAAGAAGGAGAGAAACCGACACACACAGAAAGAGAGAGAGAGACCGTCATGAGAGAGGGATGCTGTGTGTGTGTGTGTGTGTAGCGTGTGTATGCGTGTTTTTGACACTTCTTCCTTGTGCATTTTAGGGATACACACAATGTGCGTGTGCAGTGAAATGGAGTGAAAACGCCAAAGACCAAGAATTAACAACCTAATAAACTTATTAAACAAAAAAAAAACCCCGTGTACGCAGTATTTAAACAAAACACAGAAAGCTCCCCCGAAAAGAACAACAGGACACATACACACACACACACACACACACACACACACGGGACTGTGTGCGTGCGGGTGTGCGGGTGCATGAGTGTGTGAGGGAATTTCCTGCTGGCAGATAGAAATACCGTTAGATAAAAACAGGAAACGGAAGCGAGCGAAATGGACAGCTCGCCGGATTTGTCGCTGAAGCTGCGACGCGGCAGCAGCGATTCGCGTGACAACTTTTACATGGACTTTGCCCAGGGCATCGACTCCGACATCGAAGAGGTGGACACAGCCCAGTCGCAGGGTCAGGGTCAGGAGGTGCCTCCCCCGCCGCCGCCACTGCCCACAGTCTCGCTGGCCGAGGAGGTGATGCTCCTGGTGGCCCCGCCGCCGCCGCCACTGCCCACGCTTCTGGGCCAGCCGCTGCCCACGCTGACGGAGACGGATGACATACCGCCAACGCCCACGCCGCCGCCGCAACAGGACGAGGAGGGGGAGGAGGAGGAGCCCGAAGAAGATGAAGAGGAGGAAGAGGAGGAGGAGGAGCCGGAACCCGAGGAAGAGGGAGCTGGCTCTGTGCTGGAGCTGGACCTAATACCGCCGCCGCCATTATCCCCGCTCGATGATGCCGGCCTGCGGACCGATGACGATGGCGAGGGCGAGGAGACCGATGACGCCGAGGAGCCAGTGCCCATGCCACTGCTCCAGGACCAGCAGCAGTCCCAAGGAGCCCAAGAAGAGCAGGAAGAGAATCCCGAGGAGGAGAAGGAAGACTCCGATGACGAGGACAAGTCAACGCCACCGCCACCACTGCCGCCGCTGCCATCGAATCTCTCCTATGTCCAGGGACACAATCTCGGCCAGCCGGTGGTGACACCGCCGCTCACCAAGTCGCCATCCACTTCCCCCTCGCCGCCCGTGACTCCGCCGCCGTGTCCCGAGCTCAACCTTAGCCGGATGGTGTCCTCGCCACCGGCTCAGCACATCAGCCAGATACCGCCGCTGACGCCCTCGTCCGAGAGCGAGAACGAGGCCGAATCCCAGCCCAATTCGCCGCCTCTTCCCAATCCTCGACTGGAACCCGAACCCGAAGCCGAAGCCGAACCAGAACCGGAACCAGAGCCCGTGAGTGGAGCTCGCGAGGATTACAGTCGTTCGTTGGACAACGAGGATGAGTCCACCACGATCACCACGCCGCCAAGCAATGGCTATTCGGCCTCCTCGATCATAGCGCCACCGCCAGAGCATTTCGGGGAGTTGGACGAGGACAGAGGCTTTATACCGCCACCGCCCTTGGACCAGGCGGATGAGGAGGAGGAGGAGGTGGAGGAGGAGGAGCCTGAGCAAGACCCCGACGATGATGAGGAGGAGGAGGAAGAGCTGACCAAGGTGGAGACGGATGAGCTGTCTGTGGACAGGGAATCACTGCAGGAGCATCACGGTGATACCATTAGCTCGCCTCGAGCGGCCAGCATAGCTAGCGGTGCTCTGGCCGGCCTCACTGGCTCCATATCCGCGTCCATCGGTGGCGGGTCACCGAAGCCCGAGAGCCGCGGACCCAGTCGCAGTGGCAGCCAGAGATCGCAGCAAGTGAGGGGATCACAGCAAGGATCACGTCCGGGCTCACAGCCGGGATCGCGGGCTGGCTCTCAGCCTGGTTCCCGCATTGGCTCACGCACGGGATCCGTGGCCTCGGCCGCCCACGCTGCCGGCATCCTCTCGCCACAGGCCTCACTCAAATCCCAGACATCGGTGCGCAGTCCTGCGGTGTCCATCAAGTCGGGATCACAGCGCCAGAGCGTACAGAGCCCGCCGGCCGGTGAGGGTGCTCCGGCCATGCCATCGCCACCACTGATGCGTAGCCCGCCGCCGGAGCTGGCACGCCAGATGCACAGTCCGCCAAGGATCACAACACCGCCGCGGGTCTGCAGTCCGCCGCTGGTCAGCAGCCCACCCAAGCTGGCCGAGACGGCAGCCGCCGCAGCTGCAGGAGTCAGCAAGGAGCAGGCCAGGTGAGTTGGAGTCATTGCTTATGGATACTTCCAAGGATAGCCACCTCAAGTCTTGTCTTAAATTGCATTAGAAATGTTTTAAAGTGAAGCCACTTAAAAGATCCTTCTCGGAGTAATCTTCTCCTTGAAGATTCCCTTGCTTCATTTTGAGATTAAAATCCTTGGCATGCCTGCCTTGGGCTGCGAAAACTTGTAGTCCTGCCAACGCGTTCGTTCCTTGTCGCGGCTCGTATCTATCTGTAACATCTCGTCTGGCTTGGGCTTCCCGCGGGCGCTCCTCTAATTGCATAATCGTCCTCGGCCCACTCCCACTCGTCCTGCTCCTCGTCCTGACCCTCCTTCCCACTACCTCGTCGTCAGCCTCCATTAGTCGCTGCTAATAGCTGAACAAAACTGTTTAACTTATGTGCTCATGTTCTCCATGCTGCCTCAGCAGGGATGGGCACCCATCCTGCTCCATGCTCCTCCGCTTTGGTGTTGTCTGCCATCGCCTGCCTCACTTTACATTAATTAAACATCACGTTTCCAGAGCAACACCCGGACAAGTTTCACGCCGTAAACAGAGGCCGGAGTTGAGTCACTGAGAGAAAATGCTCTAGGGGAGTTCTTTTCAAATGCAAAAGGGAACTATATTAAAGCATTTAAATTGAAATTGATAATCTAGAAACATTTAAATAAGAATAAGAAAAAAAAATACACAATTATCTCTTACAAATTCCATGACAATACAATTTAGAGAGTCTCTTTCCAAAATGAAATTTGTCACATTCCATTAATGATCAGAGTTTCCCTCATAGTTTTCCCCTCGATTTCCAGTGCAGGGCCTTCGTGGCGTATACGTAATGCGCGGCCTTTGAGTGCGTATACGTTACACGGGTTCAAAGGCACACGGGCTGGGCGGCTCCGCTCGATTGGCCTGACAGGCGCAAATTGTTGCAGTAAATGGAAATGGAAACTAAAAAAAAAGAGAAGAGAATAGAAAGGTGAGGGGGTGCAGAGCTGCGACAGCAGGTGAAAGGTGAGCCCCGCTTGCCTTGGCAGGTTGTTGTCCTCGTCCTCGTCGAGGTCCTGGATGTCACCTGTATGCACGCTGCCTGCTGGCCTGTCTGGCCCCATTGCCACGCCCATTATTGTGGCGCTAAATGCATGTGCGACTCGGCAAATTGCCCGGAGCCAGCCACAATCCGCCGGAGAAGCCAAGAGAGACCCCTCAGTCCCTCAGTCCCTCAGTCGCTCTGTGTGCAAAATGGGTCAATTGAAAGAGCTGCCTTGTTTCTGCTGCGGTTTTTTGTATTTGCTCTCATGTCCGAATGCCCAGGTGCTCCTCCTCTCCCCCACCCCCCTTTCAGGCTGGCCTTTGTCCGGGTCCATGTTTCCGTCCGGGTCCCGGACCTGATCCCTGATCCCTGTCCCTGTCACGGGGTGAATGCATTCGCATGAATACCGCATACGGAATGAAATGCCTTCCGCCCCTTCGAGCCGGAAATTAATCGCTGACTTTAACCGACAAACGGACGGAATATATCGACTTGACTGGCGGTCGGTTGGTCGTCTTCCGGTCAATATTGACATAGAATTCTATATCAGGAAATGTCACAATAGGTTTTTATTTATTCATTATCAAAGCAGTTCTCTTGAAAGGTTATGAAACTGTTGATAAGTGCTGAGCAAATGTTCTATATCCTTATATATCCTTTCTTTGCAATATGTTTTTCATATTTTTATGATAAAAAATAAGCATAGTTCTTCTAAATTTTATTCCTTTAAAAAATATAAATGGGCATCTCTATGAAGTTCCCCCTAAATGTTGGCAGCTTAAATGGGGGTTTAAATATATATTTCAATCAAGCCCTCTTTTCGACCCTCCTTTTTGTATAGTCAAAGGATAATGTAAACAAATCAATTTCTGCAACAATATGCAACTTTGCCTGGGAGTGTTCAAGTGTTCACTGTACAGTGAAGTTCGTGCTGGTTGGGGAAAAATGGGGAACAGAAAGATGAAAAGCAGGTGCACAGTCGGGTGGCTTGTACTATCCATCCATCCATTTATGCAACAGTCAAGCTCACATGGGGCACAAGAAGGTGGTTTGGTTTGTTCGGTTTTGTGGGGTTAACAACCCCTGCAAAATAAAAATAATACACATACATATGCACAAAAAAAGCACGCCCTGAAGTATGCAACACGCTTTTAGAAATCAGATTACAAGTGCGCTCGAGTGCATGACCCACACAATTGCAGAGGCACAGGGAGTCCTTGTTGCCGAGGATATGATGTGTGTTTCGTGTGTGTCCTGATGTCAAGGTTATTTACAAGCTCCGAGAGCTCTTCCCAGCACAACACTTGTTGCAAATCGTCATAAAATTAAAAATCGTTATGACATTATGAACAAAGTTAAATATGTTGTGTTATTATTAATATTTATTACATGTTATGCTGAGCATAGTAATAATATTAATCAATTTCAAGCTACGTAATTATGTTTTGAAACCATTTTCAAAGAGAATGCATTAAATATATCAGGTTACCCAAAATATAAGTCTCTCTTCACACGACATTTGCCTAATTAAATGGGTTATTATAATGACTTTTAAGTGAATATAATATTTAACTATTAAAATAATAAGCTCTCTCTCAATTTCTTGACCATATTTTCGCTCTGTGTAAAACCTCAGCCAGCTCACGTAATGATGCTCTGGTCTTGCTTTCGAGTGGCTTTTTGGAGAGCACACGGCAAAGAGTATTTGAATCTAGCCCCGATTCTTGATTTGAATGCGAATAAATGATGATGCGTGGAATACTCTCGTGGCAGGGCAGGATGCCGGATGCCCCTAAGGCTATATCCATCTCCTCCTCCTCGGAATCCACCTGGTTTCCGACATGTGTCATGTGTCATGTGCATGCGCTGCTCCGTTCCGCCTTAATTAAACATCCCAATCACGTACTGGAAAATATTTCATATTTCCATTACGGCACGACACACATCATCAGATTTATGCTAAATATATATGCATTAGGTACAGTCAGTACTTGATAACTTGGGCTTAAAATATGGGAAATATCTTAAAGATTCATCTTTGAAATGCAAGTTTCTTGGGCTTACAGCTTCCTTTTTGTGAGGCTTGAACTGGCATAGATTTCAATATATAATATGAATATTATATATATTATGAAACGCACTGTTACCCAGTCACACTGTGAGTGTCTGTGTGTATATATCCACTAGACGGCGATTAGTTTCAATTGCCCCGTGGGGCCTTTTCATTAAGTTTATGCTTTTTTTTCGTGTGGTCTCTCTAGTCTGGGTTTCAGATGATAATCTCTGGGATTGGAATCTAAAACGGAATCTAAAGCTTTGTGCGTTATTAAAGGCAATTTGTGGGATGGCTTTGTGGGTGGATTGGGATGGATGGTGGGTATTCCCCGAAGGTCAAGGAGATTCCTGTGATCTGTGATCTTCGTTCCCTGGCGAAGTTCAATGCATTCGCGGAATGGAATGGAACGGAAATGTCTGGCATCGGATACAATGAATGCCCCAAAAGCACTCGAGGGGAGACCATTATTTAATTAAGTGCTGCGGCCGCCTATATATCCGTATCTCTGTGGCTGTAGCTGTAGCTTTGTATCTCTGCATAGCTGTATCTGTATCTGTGGCTCCGTATCTCTATCTGCACATCGGTATCTCTGTATTTGTATCTGCAAAATCGGGTGCGGGGCCTGAATCCAAAGTGAAAGCCTCTGATGGTTCAGTGAGCCCACGTCGGTCAGCAGATCCAGCCACACGCATATATATATCCATATACTATATATATCTATCTCATTCATGTCGGACTTATCATCATCCTCCCCCACCTCCTCATCTTGCAGCTCCTTAAGTTCCGCGGCTGGTGCTGCTGCTCCCGGTGAGCCCTTGGAGCCACCTCTGGCCACCATTAGCTACCAGGATGAGCAGAAGCCGAAGTCAGCGCCTGCGCCTGTCCCCGTGGTCACCAGCCAGCCGGCCCGGGCTCACTTTACAAGCAGTCACCATCACTACCACTTGCCGCACCAGTTCCAGCATCCCCACCATCAGAATCATCACACGCACAGCGTCCGGGTGCCCACGCCCACGGTGCCCAGCAGCTATGCCCCACCGCCGCCGCCGCCGGCATCGTCTTCGGAGGAAGGCAGCTCACCCGGTGAACAGCGACGTCGCCTGATGAAACCCGCTTCCGTTTCCGTTTCCGGTGCCGGTGCCGGACTGCTGGCCGCCACATCCGCATCCTCGGCTGGCCCAGATCTGGCCGTGGCCGTGTCGCCGGGCAGGGTATCGGCTCGCTCCGGTTCGCAGCATCATGTGACCATCGATGAGTCGAGTTTGCCGCGCAAGAGCAGCATCCAGGAGACACCAGGACCCAGTGGCTTGATCGTGGGCTCCGGTGAGGGTGATGGAGATCGGGATATTGGAGGCGGAGGCGGCGGCGGCGGCGGAGGTGGAGGCGATAGCTCCGATCCGCCATCATCACCGGGAGGATGTGAGCTGGGAGGCAGCCAGCGGGAGGAGGGGCAGCTGGCATTGATGTATCACTCGCACCAGTTGACCAATTATCCAGTGCTGCCAGCCATCAAGCGGACCCATCGACCATCCTTTGTGTATCCTCCAATGCCGAGGGTCAAGGCGTAAGTAACATGATTTTTAGGTTCCTAATTATAATCTTAGGGTTTCCCAAATATATTTTTTATAGTGGCGATGCCTTGGCCACTTTGTTCTCGGCACTTTATGGCAAACTGTTGGTGGTTATGGGCATAGCCTTTCCCATGGCCGAGGTCATCTCCACATACATTCCACCATCGTTCTATGAGGTGAGTCTAGACTCTTAATAAAACCTAGTGCAAAATGAATTAATGATACAAATGTATTTCATTTTAGGTATACTATTTGTATTTGTACATAGGCAGCATGATCTTCCTGCTCTTTATGTACGCCACCTTGCTCTGGGGACGTCCCAAGTTGCCAGTGCCCATAGGTAGGGATCTCTGACACGTTAATAATATATTATAAATATAATATATTCCCCTCCCATAGCCACCTCCCCCAACAAGTCGACGACCAAGGCCAGTGGCACGGACAGCATGGATGAATCGGATACGGATAGCAACTCGGTGCATCGTCGTCTTCCTCCGCCGATTCCAGTGCGGCGTCCATCGTTGCTCTCCCCCTTGGGAAGGCAGCACCACTATGGCAGCTTCTATCTGCGCATGGGAGCTGTGGGTGAGTGTCCTGAACAGAATCTAAATTATAGGACTCCTTATGATACATACTCCTCCCTCTGACAGCCTTTGGCATTGGCAGCATGATCTATTCCGGCCTGGAGTTTGGTCAGTACTTTGAGCTAAACCCGGATACCAAGTGCCATAATGTCCTGCTGGCCTTGACACCGGCCACAAGGATGGCCTTCATCTTCATCCAGATGTACTTCATCTTTCTGAACAACGAACAGATCAAGGTGTATCGCTACAAGATCATCGCTCGCTTCGGCCTGATGCACATGATCGGCACCAATCTGGCCGTTTGGCTCAATGTCCTCATCCAGGAGACGAAGCACGAGATTCTCACCTTCTACAATCCGGAGAATCGAACGCTGAGGATCTCGCACAGGATACCGGGACATTCGCGTGGACATGCCATCATACCGCACGATCCCACGGCGCATCTGAGGGTGCCGCGTGGCCTCAAAGGACCGTACCAGATCTTCGAGTGCCGCCGCACAAATATCATTGGAACTCTGGTGCAGGACGCTTCCCCGTTCCTGTTCCCCTGCACCATCGAGTACTCGCTGATCTGCGCCGCCATCCTGTATGTGATGTGGCGCAGCATCTCGCGGCCACAGTCACCGAATACACCCCAGCGTCCGGACATGATCAGTTCGCCGATGAAGCGTTCGCCGCATCACTACTCCGTGGACTGTGCCCGTGCCCACAAGGGCCTCTTCGTGGGCATCCTCATCCTGGTGCTGACCATCATCTCGCTGATCATCTTCTTCGTGCTGATCTCGCGACCGGAATTCGTGGCCATGGCCGTGACGGAGGTGACCATTTGTGAGTTGCTCATCTACGGCACGGCCACGATTGCCACTCTGCTGGGGATGATACAGATCCGGCACTTGCAGTACGATGCATACAGGAGCTTCTCCCTGGACGACATCCTGTTGGTGGGCGCCCAGACGGGATCCTTTCTGTATAATATTTTCACGGTGATTGCCGGACACTTTACACTGCGCAGCGACGACATGCTGGTCCCGATCAATGCCCTCGCCTCGATCGTTCAGACCGCCTGCCAGACGATGTTCATCCTGGACGCCAGCCGGCGGCAGGCCGTCAGTCCGGAGCACATAAGGAAGAAGCCGGGACGGGAGATAGTCACCTTTATGCTGGTGGTCAATCTGGCCATGTGGGCCATTAGCACGCTGGAGAAATCCCGAGCGGAATCGCATCCCATTCAGTTGAACTTCTACGGGCTGTGGGCCTGGACGATCATTACGCATGTATCGATGCCTCTGGCCATCTTCTACCGATTCCATTCGACGGTGTGCCTCTGCGAGATCTGGAAGAGGGCCTACAAGCTGAAGCCCACGTACATGTGAGAGTTCGCCCGCTCGCGCATCCAGAGCATTGCGCAGCAGCAGCAATTCTGTGAGGATCTCAAGACGAACCTGTCCTACTGCTATTGCTCCACAACGCTGGCGGGCGGTGAGCTGGAGACCGTCGAGGAGGTGGACAGTGGCGAGAGTAATTCAGCCGAGGAGCAGGCAACGGCCGGGGGAGGAGCACCAGGAGCACCAGGAGCAGCAGGAGCGGGAGCGGGAGTAGGAGCAGAAGCTGGACAGGATGAGGAAGGGGAGCAAGGCGGCGACAGCTGTGGACTGAGGGCACCCATCCGGGCGCTGTCGCCGCAATCTCTCAACACGGAGAAGGCCTTCTGTCCGGTTTACGTGATCAATGGCGAATGAGTTTACGCGCATTTTGAGTTCATCGACGCCCTCAGCGGCCATGAGCTCAGCTTTGTCTAGGACAGGCTCCAGCACCACCATTAATTAGCACCACCATCACCCACCAAGACACCATTTGAGATACCATTTGAGAACCACCAAAGATGAAGAACCAACCACCAAACCCCCCCGGAAGCGGATGCCATTTCCTCCCCAAAAACATATCCCAGAGAAGAGATATAGAAAGGCAAAAACAAAAGGAATAAGAGAAGAACAGAAAAGCTTTCGAAAAAGTGGTTGCGTATACGCAATATACGAGCAATACAGCAAATAATGCGTATACGCCCTGTGTGCCAGGGTTTTGAGCATCAAAAACGAAGTTCGAGGAAGAGATCAGGCGGAAATGCCAGTTATTTGTAGCCGTAGCAAACAGAGAGAGAGTATTCATGTTCAGCATCCCATATATATATATTAATGGAAAGTTACAACAAAATTCACACGAATATATCAAAATGGTTAGGCTCGCAAATGGAAAACAAGCATTTTATATGTTTATATATACACTATATAGAACTGAAGGAGAGACAGTAGCAGAATCAGGATCAGAATGAGCGGGTTGTTGCCTCATCTGTAGGCTAAACTAAGGATCAGCAAAGGCATGGCAGCCATAACCAGGATAAAAGGATATTTACTCGATATATTTCCGGAAACCAAAGAGGTTAATAAGCAAAGCAATCGTAGAAGAGGATAGAACCTCCAGGAGAAGTCATTGAACCCCACCAGAACACACACACCAGACGAGGAATCGAGGAAAAGCAAACACTGGACTACCAAGTAGACAGTTGACACACACACTCTCCCAGTTTAGCACCTAAGGATATTAAAACATATATATACTCACACATGCATAATGTAGATGTTCGATGAGAGTCCTCTTTTGGAAATCCCCTCCCCCTTATATATTGTTGAGATATTACGTTGATCATTAAGCGAATCTGTTGAAGCAGCCGAAGAGGATGTTGTTCGGTGTTGTTAGGAACCTTGTTTCCTCCCACTTTTCATTCTTTATATTATGTGATAGGCAGCGTTTGTGTTTGTGCTTGTTTCCCTCAAAATACACACATAATTCAGTATTAAAAAGGCTCAAAACTAAGAGAAAGCAAAAAAAGGAGAATACAACTGGAAGAAGGACAAATCAGATTGGAAAGGAAATCACTTACTGTAAGACGCGCACAAGAGTAACATTTTAAGGAGATAGAAATGAATATGAATGTCTGTTCTTTTTTTTATATAGTCTACCATAATGGTATATAAGGTATCTAGGATATAGACGATGATTCCACTTACGACGCGATGTTTGTATATTTTCACAATGCCAAAGAGTTCTTTACGTAGCCTATGTTATGATTGCCAGAGATTGGGTTTTCCATTTGAATCTACTCACTCATCCATTGTATATTCAAGAGTTAAATGTATTACGAGAAATGCCAAAAAAAACGACGAACGGAAATCATGGAGTCAAGGAGCAAACGAGAAACAAGTATATTATAATATAAATATATATTTAAATTAAATTAGTTATTTCAATTTTATACTCGTACTAAATTTTTAACTAGAATTAACTGTAAAACTTTATATGCATTTTCTTACATGTATTTATATATTGTACACCGACTCGGACCGGACACTGCTCTAAAGAAATCGAATAACGAAATCAAATTGAATCCAAAATCAAAATTTAATATTGAATTATATATATATGAATTTATATTTACAGCCCGATTGTATTAGAATTTATGGGAAACTAAGTAGTTACGATGAGCGATAGTTATCGAAGACTCATTAGAGGAACTCCTATTCCACGTAGAAACCAATAAAGTACGATAACAAAAAACCAAAAAGCGAAATAAAAGTTTGAAAGCAAGCCGAGAAAAATATGAAGTTATACCCGGAACATTATTTGTTCACATTACTCAGTAAAAAACAAATGAAAATCGAGAATTAAATGTAACAATTGCAATTGTGGGACTCACTTCATAATCTGTAATCGATAGGCCTTCTTCATAAACCTTTTTTCAGAACTGTACAAGCTCAAGGACTCTTGGGAATTTAATTTAAAATATTTCCCTTCACTTCTTCAAGGTTTCATTTCCTAAAAATGTAAGCTCTTTTTCATACATTTCAAAGCTAAAATTCTTCCTTTGGTCCCATTAAAAAATTATTCAGATATTCTTTAGGAATATCTGCAGACATATATTCAAGTAGTTTTAGATTAAGGATAGAGTTTTCCATATTTCCCTTTCGAACCAGACAAACTGTTGCAGTTCCCTTTTCCGTTTTTCAATTAACTTTAGGATCTATATATTTCTTTCTGATAAATACAGATTCAATTCTCCTTTGAATTTCACCTGAATTTCGCCCCGAATAATACTAAAAACAAAATACAACTTGGACTAAGCCTAGGAAAAGCAGTTTGTATTAAGTGTTACAAGTATTAATATGTATTTACAATAATGGCTATGAAGATAAAGTTAAACACCCATAAAAATCCAAAATAACAACTAGTCGTCAATGTTCTGTGTTCCCCAGCAAATACACCACCACCCAACCAAAAAAATAAATACAAAATAATAAACGAAACAAAACAAAAAACTATAATGACTATAAAAGAGCAGTAAATATGCAATAAATATTAATAATAAATTGAAACGTAATTCGATTACTATGCAAAATGCTGCCGCCCTTTTGAGTTTTTCTTTGGGTAAATGGGTCAAGACACCGAGAATGTTCCACATACTGTTCCATAGCACTAGGATTTGGGCCTCAGGGTGGGGTCTTCAAGAGGTCCTGCCATCGGAGGCTTCTTCGGAGAAGACGCATAGCCCCCTCTTTTTTTGAATCTGTATCTCAGGCTGGGGAATATGGGCGCAGGAGCAGATACACACGCATACGGATACAGATACAGATACAGAGCTGAAGCCCTCCAAAATATACTCGCAGTTTGCAGTACAGTAAAAACTCAGCAAATGGAAGGTTGTTTTTTTCTTTTCAAAAGACTTTTAGTATGTTTTTTTACAGGTCAGTGAGAGTGCCCCCAGAAACTCAGGTTTTAAGATATTTTTAAGCATGTTGTGCTTACTTCTTTTAATGTTTTTATATTAAAAAGATATTAGCAAGCTTTAAAATATATTTTTTCAAGTGCCTTTTCAAAATGTTGCAAGAAAGAGAGATTTAAATGATACTCAAAGGAAGTATGTGCTCTTTTAAAACTTGGTTAACTATAGCGAACGTGTACTGTACTTTCGTAGGGAGGGAATGTGTATCTGTCCTTTTCACACAAAAGTGCGTGCGGGACAAACTAAGAAGATTTCCCCTCCATGGTCTCTCTTTCTCTCTCTTATTTTGTATCCCTCTCTGGGGCTGTGTGGATGCTGTTGGTACGCCCCTGATTTCCACTGCAGCCCGACTGTGGATGCTGTTCTTCTCCACCTATACATATATACATATATATATATATACGTCTGTGTGTTTCTCTGGATTCCACGTATCCGGGGCTATGTACCCGGGGACACGCGTACCGACCGGTTACCCGGGATGTGAACCACGCCCTGGCCAACCGAAAACTAGGTTAGCTCCGCTCCGAAAAATACACGCTTAAACACACACACACACTCGCACACAGTGTAAGGATGTGAGCACAAGGATATATAGCATAAAGGATATAGTACATAATACAGCCGCAGATACAGATCCTCTCAAGACAAGCCTCTCTTAGACGGTGGGGCTGGGGACATTATTTATTCAATTTTTTGTAGCGTCTAATTTCCCTAATTCAATTAGGCTTTTTCCACCCATTTTCCCCAGGACCCCCTGCTGTTCGTTATGTTTATTTTCCGTGAATTTTCCTTCACGTTTTTGTTGAGAGTGGGCGCGCCTGCAATTAGATACAAATACGAGTGGTTCGCATACACATAAATGCACCCCGTTTGGCGGCAAAACCGAAGCCCAGAGGTGAATGTCCTTTGGCAGGACTCGAACGCATGCGCCGCGCCCACATTTGCCCACTGCCACTCCTCTTTTCGCACTACCCAGCAAGCCAACGCACCCTCCTCCTCCTCCCCACCCAAGGCAAGTTTTTTGTGTCAACGCCTTGGCTGCAGTGCATCTTGGCCGAACTTCGACTTGGACTTCCTGCCCTCAGCAGTCGCACCTTTCATGCCCCATTAGTGCACGCGGTTCCCAAAGGGAGTTGGCCAGGTCCCTCGATGGCGATCCGATGGCGATAATCTGATTACCCAGCCGGACAAGGGGACCCTTGGCCAGCCGGCCAGCCAAGAACAATGGACGCAGTCTTGGTCGGGTTGGGAGTCCACTGCAAGTCCTTTCTAGTTCAGCAATTAGCCTTTAGCCCAGTGGGGTTGGTAAGGCTACAGGGGAAGGGTAAATGGAACAACAGGCCTTTATGGGAAGATATCTATTCAATTTAACACTCTAGATGATTTAGGGGATATTGTTTTTTATGATTTAATTACTTTTTAGAGGGATAAACTCGTAGTTCTAGCAGGGCAACTATTAAGGATTCTCACAACATTCAAACCATATGTTTCTAAAGAAGTATGAGCTACATATATATATATATATCTTAATAATAAATTCAAGATAATTTTATATATATTGAATATTTTACAAGTATTACTTCAAATATTTTATCAAGTTTAAAGGCATTACAAATATTTATCTAGAATTACTTCACCCTTGCAGGCTTTTATAATTTCAGTCAGAAGCTTGTTTCGATGTGAAGGAGCCATTTCCGACCCTATAAATCATATATATTCTTGATCAGCATCGAAAGCCGAATCGATCTAGCCATCTCAGACAAGAAACAATTTTTTGAAATTTTTTTTTGTATTTTTATGATTAAATTTTTACATCTTCCAAAGTTTCAAAAAATTGAAAAATTTTAAATTAGATTACGTTTAAAATTGAGTACGCAGATTTATTAATATATTAAAAACAAGCACAGAACAGCTTTCCGAATTGAATTTTATGCTTTTTTGGCTAAGTTATGAGTTTTTTAGATTTTGATTTGTAGAAGAAATTGTCATATAAATATATGTAAATATCGGCTCAAAGAATGGTATTATAATTTTAGTCAGAAGCTTGTTTCTATGTGAAGGAGCCATTTCCGACCCTATAAATCATATTTATTCTTGATCAGCATCGAAAGCCGAGTCGATCTAGCTATCTCAGAACGAAAAAAATTTTTTGAATTTTTATTTTAATTTTTTGGGTTAATTTTTACATCTTTGAAAGTTTCAAAAAATGGAAAAATTTTAAATTGGTTTAAATTTTAAATTGAGTATGCAGATTTATTAATATATTAAAAACTATCCCAGAACAGCTTTCCTTATCGGAATGTTTGCTTTTTTGGCTTAGTTATGATATTTTGATATATAATTATATTAATATATGTATATATTATATATATATTATATACAAATTATTGGAGATATAAGAACATACATACATATATATGTATATCTTTACATACTGAATTCAAACTTTTCTCTTCATGAATATAATAATTAAAACAAACTATGTTTATTATATTTTTTTACTTGATTAATCATTTTTAAGGTTTCGGTAATTCGTAATATTTATTACGTTCGTATTTCGCTTAATTATTCAATCTGTCGCATAGACATTTGCTTTTATTCACGTGCTTTTTTACGAGATATTTTGGCTATTATCACTTCTCCCCTTTTAGCCTTACAATTCGCGAAAGTCGTGTGCAACGAATAATGGTGGCAAAAGGGAGAACTAAGCCGCAATAAAAACTGGTAGAAGGTACACATAAAAAAATAGTAGTGACATTTCTTTCTTCAGGAAATAATTTCTTTCGACTAAAATAAAAAAATATTTACAAATAAGATTGAATTAAAATTGATTTATAATTCATATCTATGTTGTCTGTACGAAACGATAACAAAAACAAAAACAAGAGCAACAGTAACGATAACAACAACAAGAAGCAACAGACAGAGACGTTAACCGCACGAATATCGTAAGCGCTTACGATATACACTGTTGTTCTGGCCCTGCGTCGACTGCGACTGCGACGCCGCAGCAACGTACAGTGGTAAAAAAGCACATTGAAAATTATGTTTTACTTTTGGCAGTGGGAAACTGGCAAATACAGTAATAATTCTAATATAGCGAAAAAATGATGAAAAGTGAAATATATATGAATCTATTATTAATTCAAACTCCTAAGAACATCTTAAACAATTGTTTAATAAACATTTGCATTTTTAAACTGCCTTCGAACCAGAATTATTAATGTTTAGCTCTGTTGAAATATTTTAAAGAGCTCTTTTTATATACCAAATAATATTATATATATAATATATGGATGTTTTTACAATAGCCCATCTATAAATCGACTATAAATCAATGGTTCAACCCCACTGTGCGTCGCTGTCTTTCCAGTCTCTTGGTTTCTGCTTTGCGTTCGGCGTTCGGCGTTCGAGCTTCCGCTTTTGCGTTCAACTTTCAGTCAAAAGCGAACTGTTCCGAGTGATGGAAGCGAGTGGTGCCTCTTCAGACCGGTGCTCTTTTTTTCTAACCAATAACAATAATGCTTTGGCAACTATAAATAATAAACCTAAGGCTAACTAATAAGTACACGATAGCGATCAGAGAAAAGACAACGTTCTCTGGGCCGGGAACGGGAATAATAGCAATAGCTGGAAAGTTTGTTTCGCTTTTTTTCTCCTCTCCCCTGCTTTAAAGCCAGTTTTAGCAACAACAAAGTTGCATTTTTGTAGAATTGCCTCTAGTAATTGCTATTATTCTTGGCTATTTGTTGCTGTAATTGCTTGCATTTTATTTAATTTTTTACTTGCCTGGTTCTTTTTTTCTTTTTTTGTTGTTGTGCAGTGAACGAAAGAAATAATAATAATAAACAGAAGAAGGAAAAGTGCCAATCACGTTGAAGTTTTTTGCATTTTTTGTTGTTGTTTGTTTATGAAGAAGTGCGTCGTCGTCCATTTTGTCTGCGTTGCTTGAGTGTGTGCGTGTTTTGTGTGCGCTTCCTGGCTGCTTCAGTGCGTGTATGTGTGCGAGCCTGTTTCCGGTTTTGTCAATCAACAAATTCTATTTTGTTAACCAACAAAAAAAAAAAAAAACAGGACTCTACAACAACAACAACAACAATAGAAAGTAACAAACATAAAGAACTCCAAAAAAGAAGGAAAAGAAAAGGAAAAAAACCCAATAAAGAAACAACAAACAAACCGTAAAACGCATAACGCATAATAACGGTATAAACGCGCGCGCAACAGACGCCATCACGCCCCCCGCCCACCATCTTGATTCTACTTCTTCCTCGCGAGGCGGAAACAAAACAAAGAAAAAGAAACCAGGACAGGGGAAGAGATCGAAAGGCGAAAAGGATACTAAAAAAACGCAGGGAGGAAGCACCTCGAAAGGGAAACGCCGATGAGCTGAATGGCAGGATAAATCCTCAGCCTTTCCCCCCACACAAAATAAAAAAAAAGTAAGTCAAGTGATGGTTCCTTTAAGATAAGATATATTTAGGAATTTTGAAGTTCTCATATTTTTTAGTTTTTAAAGCGTATTTTCAGAATAACAGCAAATTTTGTGCTGCTAACATCTCATATTTTTCGGTACCCTTAAAATATTAAAATATAACTATTATAACTTCCTTTTGATCAACTTTTCTGGGAGTATTTCATATGAAAAACCATATTCAATTAGTAAAATTAAAGGCCATGCCATACATTTCATTACCTTAAATTAATTTTAAAACTAAAATTCTTTCTATAAAGATTTACCTATAATCTTTCAACCTTTGCAAATGGGATTAACTTGGGTGTTGGTAAAGTTGGCAAAGATATATAGTTTGGGTTTGTGGTTCGAGTATCACATGGGAGGGGCTCCACTGTAACTAAGCTCTTTGATGATCCCCCAACACCCCTTGGCACTCGGCACTCGGCACTCTCGAATGCTATCAAACTGGCGGCTGCCCTTCTCGGGTTACCAACACATACATTTCTTGGTCTTCCATTAGAAAGACATTGGGCGTATGTCGTATATTTTTTCCTTTTTCGGATTTCGCTACCTTCTTCTTTGGCCCAAGGAAAACCCATAGAAGTGCCGCTGGGGCCAAGTGAGGGAAAATCTTAATTGCACAAGAGGCGCTACACAGGGGACAAAGAAGCACGAACAAAATAAAACGCGGGCGGATATATCTGGGAGAAGTAACAGAATCGGTACCCAGAATTGGGTCACCCTTGGCAGGGCGACCGTCCAGGCATAATCCTCACAGATCGCACAATCTCGTGAATTGCCTGAGCAGCTTTAGCTTTCCGTCAAATTGGAAAATGACTTCATCTCGTCAGAGATCTAATATGAACTTGATTATATAGGTTTCAGTCTAGAATTGTATACCATAAATCATTGAACCGAGAAATGGTTCATAGTTATCTCAGATCATTGTCATCTTTACTTTAATAACTAAGTAATAGTAATGACTGATCTAGTGAGTCACTGGACCTACTTAAGAATGTAATAGAAATATCTATTTTATGTTACCCTCATATAGCTTAATGAATATTTAATGTTGTTCATTGATTTGATCTAGTGATTCACTAACCTCCATAACTAAATACTTATTACTTAAGTGAATCATTGCCAGCAGAATTTATTTTCACATAATACTCATACTTTCACGATGTCATTAAATTAAACAAAGCGATCATTATCAGAGGCTGACATATTTATCAGATTCTTTGATGGTGATGCTCGGCAAATGCTATTAATATGGTTGGCTTATACTTCAGAAACCATCGATTTCCATCGATTACTATCGATATAATATATATATCGAATGCCAAATTACTATTAGACAACATTTACCAATTGGTTGATCGTGATTATCACCGATTACCATCGAGCAAAAATGATATATCGATGACTACATTTTGGCATTGATTTTGTCCGATTTATATCGATCTAAGCATAAATATATATCGAGCACAATCGAGGCAAATGTTGGGATTCAAGGGAAACGAAATCCGGAAAAGTATTCGCGAGGGTTGAAACCGCGACACGCGATTTCCAGCGGTGGTTAGTTCTTAGTTCGGTGGGTGGTGGTGCTGCCGCCGATGATGATGATGATGTGGTGACGGGGGTGGCACTGGACACAGCATAAAATATGGAAAACAGGATCAAAAACGCAAAACAAAGCACGAAAAATAAGAAGCACAACAAAACGGAATGCATATTCTGCATGCGAGAGTGAGTATCGTGTGCCAGAGCATATATTAACTAATGAGCCGACGACCTCCGGGGGATGGACAGCTCTCTGACGGACCCAAAGACTGCGACTGGGACTGGGACTGGGAGTGGGTGATGAATCCGTGGGCAATGGAACGGACCTGGAAACCCACCCACCATTCCTCACAAAAAAAAACATCAGAACCCATAGTGCATCACGCACTCAGCATTTAATTGCTACCTTTTATGGAAGTCTGACATTAAAAAAAGCCAAGCTAAATGGACTCGGTATAAGCGATTTTTTAAAGCATTTCAGAGTGTATTTTAAGGATATTTAAGGATTTAAAATTTTGTTCAGAAAATGCATCAAATTAACAAATTATATTTTTGTTCCAATACAACACATTTAACAAACCTATGACCGTATATTATCATACGCTTTTTGTTAGAGAATTTAGTGTCAAAACTTTATACATCATAGTTTTACTTTATTATCATTTCTTGGGATATTCTAAAATCTTTAAATATAATAAAACAAAGATCCAATCTAAGAAATTCAAGTTAACCATTGCAGGATACTATAATTTCAGTCAGAAGCTTGTTTCGCTATGAAGCAGTCATTTCCGACCCTATAAATCATATATATTCTTGATCAGCATCAACAGCCGAATCGATCTAGCTATCTCTGAACGATAAAAAAATTTTGAATTTTTTTTTAATTTTTTAGGTAAATTTTTACATCTTTAAAAGTCTGAAAAAATGTCGAAAATTTAAGTTTGTTTAAATTTCAAATTGAGTATGCAGATTTATTAATATATTAAAAACTAGCACAGAACAGCTTTCCGAATTTAATTTTATGCTTTTTTGGCTTAGTTATGAGGTTTTTAGATTTTGATTCGTGGAACAAATTGTCATATAAATATAGGTAAATATCGGTTCAAAGAATGGTATTATAATTTCAGTCAAAAGCTTGTTTCGATGTTAAGGAGCCATTTCTGACCCTATAAATCATATATATTCTTGATCAGCATCGAAAGCCGAATCGATTTAGCCACCTAAAACAGGAAAACATTTTTTGAAATTTTTTGTTGTATTTTTATGGTTAAATTTTTCTGTGAAATTTTCCAAAAATGGAAAAATTTCATATTTGTTTAAATGTTAAATTGAGTATGTAGATTTATTTATTTGTTAAAAACTAACATAGAACAGCTTTCCGAATTGAATTTAATGCTTTTTTGGCTTAGTTATGCGTTTTTGAATTTTTGATTTGTTGACAAAATTGGTTGTGATCGCTTTCCGATACTATCCTATAATAACTAATTATAAACAGTAACAGTAACTATTATAAACTGAAGAAAGAAACTATAAAGTATAGTGATATATATTTGTAGAGCCCCTTTTTCTTTGAGTGCGAAGAGCAGAGGACAGACTGTGTTTTTTGTTTATAAGGTCACCCTATTTCACGGATTGCATCCATCTGTCGCCGCCAGTTCTCATGCTCATTTCCATACCCATTTTCATTCCCATTTCCACCAGCCTCCCCCTTTGCCGTTTCTATTTCCATTTCCACAACCATTTTCATTTCCATTTCCATTTCGATTCCGATTGGGATTCTCCCAGTTTGGCATTCTTTCTTTTCAGTATACAATTGCATATCCGGTTCTCAATGTGGGCGCCGTCTCCGTCTCCGTCTCCCGTCTCGGTGGATTCATGGATCTGCATAGATCAGATTTTCCTACCCCCATTTTCACTTTTATTATTATTTTTTGTATCGTTTTCTGCGGTGTGTTTCCTTTTGTTTTTCCCCCCGATCCACTGAGCTTCTGGTTTTTATTTTTTACTGTGGGCGGGGCTTATGGAGAGGTGTTTTTATAGAAGGGGGATGGGGTTTTCAGGGCATTATCCGTCTGCCGTCTGTCATTGGACACTGCCATAAAGTAGCAACATCGAATGCAGCGCCATCTCATCACGACGATGATCTCCCAAGCCAATTCCAGTGGCACAGTTTTTGTTTACAACAAAAAGCGGAGCAACAAAAGCAACTGCACTCATATTTCCATAGCATCGATTGGGAAATGAAAAACTATGCTTAATTATGCATAAAATTTGGAAAAGATGTTTGTATTCAAGGGAGATTAATGGTATTATTTGATGATTTATTTTTTTAGTTATTTATTTTATATTATTTGAGCTTTATTTATCTTTAAAGTGTATTTTTATATTATTTTCTGAGAGCTTAAATAAATACTATCTACCTTAGTTCCTCTTCTTGTTTATTTACTTATTTTCCCAGCCATAAAAAAAAAATAAAAAACAAATAAAAAACCAAGTTCTTCCCTTTAGTTGGTCAAAATGAACCTGGTCTTGAGACCTCCTCTAAAATATATTTAAGAAACAATGAAAAAAGAGCCATTTCAGCTGTAAAAAAACATAAAAATATAATAAAAAAGCATTCTTAGATCAGTTAGAAGTGAGAAATAGAACCATCTTAGAACGTATTAAGGCAATGTCGGCGGTCATAAAAGGCCATAATGTTGCCGACGTCGTGGTACTGCATATTTCTCTAGCTTTTTCTATGTAGTTTTTTTCTGTATTTTACTTTAGTGTTTTCTGTATTTTTCTTGATTCTGTTTCTGCTCTGTTCCATGGCCAGAATTGTCGCATGTTCTCGTTCAAACAACCAACACAGTATCGCAAATTGAAAGCTTGGCTAATACCATTAACATTTGATGGCTAACATCTCCCCACACTCGCGAAACCGGCGCAAAAACTAACCCAACGCTGTTAATTGCCCAAAGCTAGCCTTTTTTATTTTTATTTTTTGGTCAGTGCAACAAACATTATTGGCAAGACGAAACAAAATGCAACCAAAACGAATCGAAACGCTAATCGTTAACTTGACCCCATTAGCCAAGAATCGATCAAGTTCTTTTGTGACTTTTGGGATTTGTATTTTTGAAATATACAAATATATATGATGTATGCTATATACATAAATATATATTGCATTTGTTAACTTTTGAATAAGAATGTTATTGATAAATTTGGTTATTAAAATCTTTGCTTAACCATTTTTTAATTTTATTTGTATTATTTCGCTTTGAAGCAGTCATTTCCGACCCTATAAATCATATATATTCTTGATCAGCATCGAAAGCCGAGTCGATTTAGCCATCTCAGACAGAAAACAAATTTTGAAATTTTTTGGGTGTAATTTTATGATTAAATTTTTCCATCTGTAAAGGTTTCAAAAATTGGAAAAATTTTAAATTGGTTTAAGTTTAAAATTGAGTATGCAGATTTATTAATATATTAAAAACTAGCATAGAACAGCTTTCCGAATTGAATTTCATGCTTTTTTGGCTTAGTTATGAGTTTTTTAGATTTTGATTTATAGAACAAATAGTCATATAAATATGGAAAAATATCGGTTCAAAGAATGATATTATGATTTAAGTCAGAAGCTTAAAAATATGAAAGGAGTCATTTCCGACCCCATAAATCCTATATATTCTTGATCAGCAGAGAAAGTCAAGTCGATCTAGCTATGTCCGACCAAAATTTTATTGTGTTCAAAATTTCACCATTTTATTAGGAACAAATTTGGAAATTTTTATTTAGAAAAATTAATAAAAATTTCTTTAAATTCTAAATTGAGTACGCAGGTTTGTTACCTTATTAAAAACTAACATGGGAAAGCTTTCCGAATTAAAATTAATGCTTTTTTGGCCAAGTTATGAGTTTTTTAATATATTATTTGTTGACAAAATTGTCATATAGAAATTTCGATAAATATTGATTTTCAAACTTTCTTCAAGTCAAGTATGTAATTTTTGTTGACCTCCAAAAAACATTTAAATTATGTTCCCTAAGCGTAAAACCATTTGCCATCAAATATTTGAAGGCTATTTTAAAATTTCGCTGAATTGGAATTTGGAAACTTGCATTGTCCGAGGCGTAACGGAATATTTGAGTTTTTATGATTTTTTTCTTCTTGCCAAATTCCGAATTCCAAATATTTGGTTCAATCAAGAACATCAAAATTTGCTTGGAAATTAAAAATAAATTTATGTGAGCCTCCTCCAACAGCCGCGCCCTTGAGAGGCGGCAGCATCAGCGGCAACAAGTGGAAATTCCAGAAGGAAAAACTAGCGCAATTTTTATGACCCTCCCTCGCGATGATGATGAAGATGATGATTACGACGATGATGTCCGATGCTGATGGATGAGTGCCAAGTAGAGGCCACTGAAGCCATCCGGGATCTTGACAGATTGATGAGGGTAGCTGAGAAAATGCTCTTTACTTTCAATTACTCCAAAACGTATCTCTAGTCTTATCCAGATTCATGGGAAGCCGCCACATAAGACTACATAATTGACAAGCCACGGAAGAGGAGGGGTGGCTGGGAGGCAATTGCATGTTGCAAAATATTATCCAATATTGTTTATGTTTTTGCGCATGGGAAAAATAGAATCAGAGGTCGTGTGCCATTATATATGTATAATGCGCCTCTGTAAATATTTTTCGGAATGCGTATTAAAACAAAAACCAGGCAATGCGAAACGCTTCGATCACTATTTTGGTCCATATTTGAATTTGAAAATAAATGCATAAAGTTTCTGGGTTGGGTAAATGAATTGATTTAATGAAAATATGCTTAACTTGTCTGGGCAACCATCATCATCATCATCATGATATTATAATGAACAAAATATAAACCCCTAAAAAGTCTCAAAAATTTACAAAATTTGTTCAATGTATCGAATATTTTAAAATATTCATAGATATTCCAATATTTCTCTCTCTGTTTTCAGAACGACCAAATTGCGCAACCAAAAGTCTTGAACAAAAATCAACTGCTGCTGCAAACCGTATGACTGATTTATAACATTTGAGCGTACTGTAGCGATTACCTCCCTAAGAAAACTTTATACTAACTTACAACAGACATAAATATATATACATATATAGAGATATATACAGGCGCATATACGGCCGCATATATAGGAATGGCAGGGCAATAACTTTCAACTTTAAAACGTATTAAAGTCAATCAACGCTAGAAGCTTTGCTTAGTACCCACCATCCCCCTCAACAAATATATCCGATATACAATATTCACTGGCCGATAAACGGTAACCGATATATCCGATAGATAGCTGAGAGCAGAGTGAAAGGAAGCAGAGGAGAGTCTACGGAGAGGCCCGAAGAGAGGAATGCAGCGGTGTCCCTACATTCATGAGATGCGAGAACGATTACTGGACCAGCCGCGGGAGACACTTCAACTCGATAACATGGAGCGGGCCAATCTGCTCGACAATCGCCAATCGGCATCCGAATCCAATCAGGTCGGCACTGTGGTCAAGGTACGGGCTATTCGATATACTCGCTACAAGGATTACCCATTCCGTCCAACTCATATGCAATATGTATCTAATATACCATATACCACATCCAAATCGAACACACACCACCTCATTAACACACGAAGCTCATTATTAAATATTAATTACTAAATATTGATTCAAGAGAATATAGAAACGAAGCTAGAGAATTGAAATCTCCTTCAAGAACGCTCCACTACATTGTTCAAGATAAATGTATGATTCTACTAGAACTAGATATTTCAAATTTATTTAAAATATTGCCTAAATAAATGTCACAGAACATTATTTGGAATGAGTTTGTAATTTTTTTTAAAGAGATTTCAAATCTCTAGAATAATTTACACAATAACAATTGGAGTATATTTATCTTGAAACCTTTTAAAGTAAATGCAAAATAAAATAACTATATGTTCAATAATAGCTTTATAATTTTACCTTGCAAAGTAAAGGACTAACTAATTAATACTATAAAAATTATATAATTATTTCCTTGAAATATATTTCCATTTCATTCACATAAAACATAAACACAAAAAAACATTCCTTAACAAATGTAAATATGGAAATTAATCAATCAGACAAAAAAAACAACAACAGCAGCTTGTAAATATTGCATATGATTTTTAAACCTAATGCAGTGTATGTGTGTGTGTATCGGGTGTGTGTGCGTGGCAGATTAATCATTTGTTTGTTTTTCCAAGATTTTTCTATATAGCCAAAGAATTTGAACCGGATCCGAACAATTTAACCAACAAAAATCCTTGCACGAGTAACCGATTCGCCCTTGACTTTAAGTTCCTCGAAAATCGTAATCGAAAACGTTTATCGATAACCAAAAAAGGCGATAAGTGCCATTATTTTATGAGTAATATCATTTTCTTGCAATAAATTGGAATTGTTTCACTCTAAATACGAATTATTTTCAAAATGCATGCTTTTAAAAACGAATTGCTTTATAAGTAAATATGTAATTTATTGTTTTGCTTTGTGAAGGTTGTGCAGAAACGGATTAAATAAAATTTAAGAAAATATAATTATTTGAAAATCCAATTGTCCACTTAATTAAATATTTATAAATATTTTAGTAAGGTTATGGATTTACAGAGATATTATTTGCGAGAAAGTTTTGTAAATATTTCTGTGAAGCCTTTTCATAAAATAAAATATACATTTTAAATATATACAAAATATAATCCCAAAATTCCCATTTAAAGTTGAACTATATTTCTGTGACAATCCCTGGACTAACCTTGTACATAATTGTATTTACATTTATGACATAAAATTCCAATTTATTGTTGTGAAGCCCTAGAAAGACACATTGATCTTATTACCCAATTCTAATAATTGTTCTTTATGGTTAATCCCATGCAGCTGCAAGGCGATGGATACCACACGAGTCCTGCCCATCAGAGGACTCCACTAGTTCCCCACGATCTTGGCGAGGACTTTAATTTGGATTTCGATGATGACTTTCCCATAGATGCACGACGACCGAAAAACGCCAAGTAAGTGTGTTCCATGATTTCTCTAAACATAAAATATATTACATATCATCTATATATGTATTTGTGATAAACCCAAAAAAAAGAAAAGAAAACCACCTATCTGCCAGCACAACTTTATGTGTGTTTCTTCATCCACTGAATGTGTTTCGTTTCGTGTGTCTGCATTATGCCATTTCCGTTTCCGTTTCCGTTTCTGTTTCACATTCACATTCCCAAGAATCCCAGAAAAAGAAAGATCATGATAAAGCTAGAGACACTCTGTCATTCCTCTTCCTTATCTTAACTATATCGATCTGAGATAGAACCCCTTGGTAGAGACGTAAATTGACAATTTAATCAGATAGAAACTGTTACAGCGGCAAACATCCACCGGTTCTGACGCGTCCACAGCAAAGGTCAGATTTGCTAATAATATAACCTATCCAATCTATTTACTTCCTAAATCCGTAAATATAAATTATGCATATATAGCGACTCTCCTAACCGTACGAAGTAATACCTTTCCTACTAACTCTATGAGAATCCAGACACCAAAACGATATCCTAGTTTAGTTTTCACCGGAGCGTAGTAGATCTTGTCCTACACCTGCATCTTGCGATGGCATCTAATAGCTGTAGTTATATAAATATATAGTTACACCTGTTCCAAGCACCGCTAACCAAATACTAAGAAAACTAACTTATCCTTGGGGGTAGCGTATATAAAGATTAGAAATTGAGCATAAAATTGTGGAGAAAGTCAACAGGTTGGCATCAAAATATAAATTATTATAATGTATTTATATGAAATATTTTCTTTAATCAGTTTAATATAATAAATCAATCAAGGTATTAAGGGAAATTCAATATGAGCCATATATTCTCGGGTTACCACTCAGGTTATTACTCCCAATAATCATTTACCAAAGGCGTGTCTTTCTCTCTAACAAAAAACATAATCCAAAATTAAGCAGCATATCCGCTTAGGGAGTCAGAAAACTATCATTTAGCCCTTCTTTGTACGTGGCTTTATTTGATTCTTGTTGTATTCCATTTTATTCTTATTTTATTTGGCAACAGCCGGGATTATAATGTCAACGAACTGGACGCCAGTGGGGCACATTGCCTTACATTTCCGATCTTTGTTCGGGGCGGGGGACGGAAAGGAGCCCGACATAAAACAAATAAGTGGGCGGCGAGTCATCCAAAATCGCTTACACAATGCTGCAAGTAGGGTGGTCCGGGGTGGGGTGCCTCGTTTTACTCGTTTTGGAGTTGCAAACAAATTACGCAACTTGACAAACCGACAATGCATTACACTCGGCTGGCTGGCTGGCTGCGGCATGAACTGTCAGCGATGCATAGAGAGAGAGATCTCTGGCGTCTTTCAAATACCACTTGCACCCCAGCATCTGCAGGGGAACTCGGGGAATCCCAGGGAAACTCAGGGAAACTCAGGGAATCTCAGGGAACTAGGGGGTATAGGAGACATGGCTTTGTCTCCGCCGCCCAAAGTGTCATTGTACGAATGACTTACATTCGTGAGTCGCAGCAATTTGCTAACAATGGCAGAAGGCAATGCCGGAGACAGCGAGAAACTATCGATGCTTGGCAGATGGCCAGAGACGTCTCACTGTGAGAATATTGTACACAAACGGAAAGTTTTGAACAAGGACATCACTTTGAAAAACATATCCTATACATGTTACTATATATTTTATAGCAGGATGTTACTCCTTTAGAGAAGAATTCGGTAAGGAATACTAACACACTTTCTTTTCATATGTAGTAAACTTAGAGCTCAGATCTCAGGACCTTTTGTGAGCTAGGGTTAGGAAATGTGTTATGTTGACTTGGTTATCATCTACCTACCTATATACCAAAATTTGTTCAAATGGGAAAAGTTTTAAGAAACATATCCTCTTTTTGATACAACCCTATAGTCTTAGTAGACTTTGCTTTTAGGTATCTGAGGTTATAATTATTTAATAAATAATTGTTATATTTTTGTACCCTTGCTTAAAGCTCAATTCTCCTATTTTATTATATACGACAATGACGACAACTCCTCTCAATCCATAGATAAAAATGTCCTCGCACCTATTTATCACCCGATTAGGCACAAGGTTTTTTGGGGCAGGCTCTCAAGGCTCTGTTCACTTTGTTTAAAAATAATATTAATGAAAATAAGCCAGGCCTAATGAAGACCTCATCAATGGCTAGGGGTAGATAAATATATAATTAGGAAAGCCGTCAGCAGCCCCTGTGCTGTGCTGTGTGTGAGAGCAACCCTTCTTCAGGAGATGAAAGTCCACAACAAATATAGCCTGATGAAGGGTGGTCTTTCGTCATTGATCCAAATTAGGGAAGACAACAAGTCACTGATTTATGCATGTTAACAGGGAGGGGGGATTTGAAAAAAAAAAAAAAAAAAAACATATTTTTGAAATTGATAACTTGTTTCTAAGGGAATAATATTGAGAACACTTACCTTGAAAATAAGTCGCAATTGGAGAATCTCTTCTGATTACAATAAATGCATGATAAATTATCCAACATTAGGCATTACATTCAAGGGTTTTCTTTCGCATTTTCTCTGCTCCTGCCTGCTCCTGGGATTAGTGAGTGAGTGAATGGCATTTGGGTCACACGTCCTCATCTGGCTGGGATCAGGGTGCGGCTGCCAGGACTCGATAAACCACCTCCTCCCGGCAGCTACTCCTCAACCTCCCCACCTTTAACCCTCTGCTGGCCGTCTGTTGGCCGATTTTCCGGCCTTTCTCCGCCTCTTGAATGTGCAACTGCGACGCAATACCGCGAGTTGCGGCGCAAATCCTTACATTCCACTGTATTACACTGAAAGAAATTAAATAATGAAAAGAATATATGAAGAAAATACATAATTTACTATATTTTATATATAAAATACTAATACCCCAAGTGGCTTAGACAATTTTTCTCTCACTGCACCTTCATGGACGTTGTTTTTTTGTTGTGTGTTTCTTCCACTGCAACCCCTTGCCCACAGTTCACTGTTCTCCTTCATCGATGACTCGGGAGTTGGGAATTCGAAGGGGCGACGGCGAGTGCTACGATGGGGGGGGAGGACGGGAACTCTGTCGGCGAATGCGCAACCAAAACAGAATGCCGCAATGTTGTTGTGAAATGCGCACAAAGCGGACGGCGCAACAGCGGGCAGAGGGCAGAGGGTAAAGGACAGCGACACAAAAGGAAGCCGCAATGGAGTTACGATAAACGGGGCTAGGACGAAGCCGAAGGAGCGAGCGAGTGAGAACGAAGTGCAAGCGCAGACAGCATGACGGCGACGTCGGTCTTTATCGTAAGCTCTGCGACAGCGCACAGTGGGCCACAAAGCGAAGCTCAAGAGGGATTAGAAGGAGCTGGGGGGGGAGGGAAAAAGGATGGGTTTAGTCTTCAAAAGGATGTTGTGAATAAGGCAATCACCTTTGGTTGGTCTGTGGATAAGGGTAAACCATAGGGATGAGTTTGCTGTGGCTCTTGATATTTATTTTGATATCCTATATAGGATCTAAAATAATTTTATATATTAATTATTATTATAAATTAGATATTAATTTAAATGTATTTCAAAAATTCTTTAAAAATTTGCAATTGAAACTTGTGGAACATGAAGTTCTGAAAATATTATTAAATATATATATTTGAGCTCCTAGTTTAATATTTAATGCGCAATTCTGCTGAAAGGATTATATCTTGACTCTTTCTTTAAATTTAATAAATAAAATAAAATATTTTTAAGTAATGATCAAATATATATATCGAAACAATACTCAAGTCCACATTTTCGCAGCAGAAAAATAATCAAAAATTACAAATAATGTAGTGCATACAAATATTTCACTTAATATTTTTAGGAATGCTTCCACTGTGTAGAAAAGTTGCCTGATTTTGGGTGATTTGGGGGGTGGTTGTAACACGTCGCACCGCAACAACAACTAAAACAACAACAACAACAACAAAAACGACAACAACTTCAACAACGACAACAACAACAACAGTAATAACAACAAGAATCGGTAGTAGTAAAATCAGTAAAGGCTGCCCAGAGCATCGTGACTAAATTGAGTTTTGGGCTGTTGCTTTTCGATGGCTGACTCCTGCCGCCTCCTGTGCCTGTTCCATTCCATTCATTCCATTCCGGTCGAAAGGACCCCCTCCTGGGCAGGATGCAGTTGGCAGTTGCAACTGGGCGCTGATTGGCATGTTGCAGCCCCATCTTCATCTCTGCAGCAGCTCTCACTTAGCTCGGGACTACGTAAATTGACCCATTTACAACGCGACTAAAGAGTGTGCGAGTGTGAGTGTGCGAGTGTGTGTGTGGCGGCTAAAACAAAAAGAGTCCTGGCTGCCAGATGAAGAACTCAATTAAAAGATACGTATTTTTCGACAAGGAGTGCAAATTAAAAGGCAAATATGGCAATGCACGGACAAATTAAAATTCAATCATAAAAGAAAGAAACTAAAGGAAATGAAAGAAAGTTGGAAACAATATGTATATTAAAAATAATACAGGATTCGGAATATTGGAAGAACTTCAAGAAATCCTGCTTAAACATTTACAATTGATAAACAATAAAAGCTAAAATAAGAAGCTATACCATAATCAATATATTTTGAAATGCAGAAAATAAGAGTCCTGGCTGGCTTTTAAGTTAATGAAATTAAAAACTAAAAAAAAACCTACAAATAAAAGAGTTCACAGCTAAACAAAAATCAAAGAAGGGCTTTAGACTCTTATAAAAAAATATGTTAAAAGGCACTTTAAGCCTAAGTAAAAACCAAAATAAAAATAAAAAAAATTGCATAAATTCCTGCAAGTAAAAAATAAATATCACCGCTTAACACAAAAGGATATAAAGGGAAAAAAATCGTAATGAATGGCGAAACCGAGAGCAACAGAGCGCGCACCTAAAATGTGTCCTACTTTTTGGCATACAAACAGGACCGCTTTTCCCCTACGTCCTGCGTGCGAGCAGAACCGCCATATAAGCCCAGAAAGAGAGGGAGAGAGCAAACAGCAGGGCAGAGAGGGAGTAAGCGAGAGAGAGAGAGAGAGAGCGTGCAAGGATTCGGCGCAAATCGAGGGCGGCTGCTGGCCAAAAGGATGCTGGCTGCTGGCTGCTGGATTCATCCTGGCAGGGCCCGTTTCAGTTGTAGTTGGATAGTAAAGGGTCTTGGACGTGTCGAAGCGAAGCGAACCGAACCGTTCTTTCGGAACCAGGTAGCCAGGTCCTCCAAGAGGCATCCTCTTCACAGAGGCCAGAGCCTTGCCAGAAAAGCTCGCCGAATTTATAAGTTAAATCAAGGAAACAGTTGAAAAGAACCGATGTATTTTTTTAAAGTGAATAAAAAGTGATTTGTGGCAAGTGCCGATTGCCCCTCTGAAGTGAAACTATACATAAACCAAACAAGGATCCATCCGGGACTCCAGATATCCTAGGAAACATCGAAACGTTAAAGTTTTTCGGGAAATCGAAACAATTTGCAGGGACTCTAGTAATATGTTGTAGAGGAAATCCTGGGCCAGGCCTCCAAACAAAAAAAAAAAACGAATACGGAAAAAAGCAAGGAAGCAGGACTTTTGATGGCACCGGGCAATACACACAAATACTTAGGCTCTCGCACACACAAACACACACACACACACACACACACACCCAAGTTAAGCAGCTTATTATACACACAGTGAAGGCCTGCTCGCTGCTCGCTCTCGAGGACTCCAAAAATGTGAAAAAGGATGCTGTGGACGCTGCTTTGGAGGCAGCTCCCTTACATGGGTCCAATGCATACACACGGGAGCACCGGAGCACCGGAGCACGGAGTTTTCGAGCTCCACAGGATACACTTTCCCCGCCGAACTTGCAGGGTTGATTCCGGCTTGTTTACAAGCAAAACGACGGAGCAAGAGAGCGAGCGAGAGGGAGCGTTGAGAGAAAGAGAGAGAGGTCACTGGGTCGCTCCCATCCGGGATGCAGTCCGTTTCGGAATCCTGGCCACGCCTCATCTGCCTTATCAGCTTTTCGGCCCAATTGCCAAATGCATTTCAAATGCGTTCCACACAAAGTCTTGTCAAAAATCGCAAGAGAGAGAGAAGGCTAAAAAGAAGAGCGAAAGAGTGAGTTATATATAGGGGGGGGGGTTCTGCTCGGTGCCAAAAGAGATAGCTATATACTAATACTATTCTGTTGCATTCCGGATCGGAATTCAACATAAATAACCCCCCTGCAAATTGTTTCGATCTAGTACATAAATACAAAACAACAGAAATTACGCACAGCAAAAAACACATAAAAAAGGATAAAAAGGAAGCGAAAAGTGACAAGTGCACTGCAATCGGCGGCCGCCTATCGATAGTTATCGTAGGAATCGAAAAACCAAATAGAGAACCAGCCAAAAGCCAGCACAACGGAGACCGAAACGGAAACGGAGACAATGGGCGGCGGTGAAGTGAAGGTCGCTACCGTCGACGTGGAGGGCGGCGATAACATGGCCACGCTGCCGGTATCCCGTTCCCACACCGCCGGCAGCACCGACAGTGCAGAGAAGAACAACGCCGCCAACAAGGAGATGGAGCTCAAGAATGTCATGCCACAGCCGCTGCAAAGGTGCGATAAGCAATAACCGATAACGATAAGTGATAACAAGAAAACCTATTTCGGGGAAAAAATCGGGGTTGTGGGCAAGGGATATCAAAACTTTTAAGTGGGAGAGTACATCTTTTCTTATGTCTTTACCTTGTATAAAGTCAATCAGTAACTAAAGAAGTATCATATCGATAATGATACAAATTTTGAGTTAAGAATCAAGGTTTTTCTTTCCTCTTGAGGTACTTATTTGGATAACCCTCTTTTTACATCTCTGATAACCAGAAGACCTTAAATTCGTAAGGGAATTAAAGCTCATTTTTAAAATTAGTTAGAAGAACTTGGTTTTCGAGAAGGTTTTAGAAATTCTTAAGATCCCTAAGAAGAATTCCCAAGAAAAAACTGAGTTTTAGACACCCTAATATCCTTGATATCTAAGAAAATAAAATAAGAGATTATAGAACAAGAATACCAAAAGATATAGATCTTATTCATGGATTCTGACAATGTAAAGCATTCATGTTTTTCAAAGCATAAAATAAAGAACTAGAGTAACTTAAAATCCATGCCAACTGTTAACTTTTGACACGATATACACTCAATTTCCGGCAGAACTTAGCACCTTATTTAAGGGGACTTTTCTTTGAGGCAAAAGGAGTTAAAAATCAAGGCCGTTCCCTGCTCAGAATTAAGCTAATGCCTGTGTATAACAGCTTCACCCACTCACTCGCCGATACACACCACACACACCCACTTCCCTGTACATAAAGTATTGCTAATCCCAAGTACATATATAACTAAAGGTGCAATCCCTGCTCTCTCTTTCTCTCTCTCTCGTAACGAGGTGTAACCCCCCCGAAAACGGATTTCCGCTTCCGTTTTTTTTTTGCGTTGTGTGCTTTCATACATATTTATATATCCACCTCGTCACAAAATAAATAGTGATGTTTCCCGCCGTCTCCCTCTATACCATAAATTGGAAATCAAACTATATATGTTTAATTCAAATCGAATCTTATAGGGTTTGCTACACATTCAAGCCAAATCCAAATAAGTACAGTTTTATGCCAGCGAAAATAACGGTACAGGGCACATACGAAACAAATCCGATAACGGGACCAATCGAACTATGGTAATGTGACAAGAACACCATGACCTACCCTAACCAAAAAACATCCAAATATATTATAATAATTATAAATATTAATCAAAAACCATGTCCATGAACCTCTGTTTCATAAAACCCTAAAAATCACACACAAAATTCTATCGAAGCTGGAATATATATCGTTTTTGGTTATATAGATAAGAAGAATTAACTTGGGATTGGTTTTATTTGATTGCAATGTTTCTGATACAACTAATAGTTCAAAAATATATATATCCCTTTTCACTTGACACCTAATTAAATGATTTTAAATACTCATCATAGAAAACTAGGAAAACTTTCAAGCATATAAATTCTGCAAGATATTCTCTTAATCAGGAATACTGAAAATCAAGTTTGATGTCCTGCATAATTTAAGGACTCTTCTCCTTCAATGCAAACAGATAGGATTTGATTCAGTTCTTGCACACACACTCACACAGAGAAGGAAAAGTGGGTTTTGGGGGTTGGGAAAAGCTGTGTGTGTGTGTGTGTGTATTTAAAGCAGTAACTAAACTGGGTCACAAAATAACTGCAAATGAGGCACAGTGGTTAGGAAATGGTAAAATACTTTAAAGTATTAATATAATATACAAAATTTTAAATGGGAATATATTGACTGAGTAAATTTAATTAATGTAAATAGTGTACACTTTTAGAAAGCACAAGAAACACTCTTTTAATCTTCATTATACAAAGATAATAATTAATTTTGTTGATGTTATGAGAGTTCTATCATTTTAAAGGGGAATCCTTTATTGATAATAATATTATCTACCGAAAACATTGCTTAGATTCCACTGTGCAGTTCGAGGTCTGTCTCTGTGGCTAATCAAACATCAAATGGGGGCTAATTCAGGGCGGTTATGCTCTCGTGTCGTCAAGTGGAAATGCACTTGAGACCTTAGTTCGCATGCCAAACACACTCTTACACTACACTCTCTTTCCCGCACACCACACACACACACCCACTTCCCTCACATTGAGAAAATCAAGACCTGCCAAGGGAGATGGGAACTTAGCGCTCCGCTCGACAAGGAAGCGGGACAGTGGGTCAAATGGTGGATCCAACACAACTCACACACACCCGTACACATCCGTATTTTTACACACCCCCCACACACACCCACACACCATAAGTGCACCACCCCTCGAGTGTTTACTCTTCTGTACATAATCGAATTGTGAAGTGGCATTTTTCGCAAGGCAAGGACTAATGGCTCCTTACCTCCATCCTCCGCAGGACATCGCTGTTCATTGTGACCAGTCTGGTGTATGCGATCCTCCTGATCGTCGTCTGCATCGCCTATGTAATCAGCGATGTGACCACACACCGACTGCCAGTGCTCTACTACGAAACGTTCTTCACATATCTCTACGGCGTCAGCATACTCTTCCTCCTCTATGTCTTCTGTTTCCTGCTGCAGGGTGAGTTTCCTATTACAAACGAAATGAATATTATAAGTTTGATATTTTCGATATGTTATTAATCATATTTAATCGATATATATTTCTGTTGATGCAGAGAGCTCTTGCTGCAATGGCGGCAACGGCAATGGGGGCAGCAAGCCGAAACCACAACCCAAGGAGAAGAAGTCCAAGAAAGCCAAGAATGCCGATCCCGCCGATTCGAAGGATGCGAAGGGCTCTAAGGACTCTGGCAAGGCAGCCAAGGGCGCCGCATATCAAGTGGGTTTTCCGATATTATATTATACACTACAAGTCTTAAGTTTTAATGGATTAGCTTCCCATTAGCATTACTGCTAATATAACATCATTTTTTTTGTGTTAATCTTTGACCCTCAATTGTGATACATTTCACATGACCCAGTGTTCAATTAAAGGCAAAGCCTTGGCCAGAGCTTAGCTAATTAAAAGCCACAATTGGGGTTGGTTGGTTTTTTTTTTTTAATTCCATATATCTGTCGTTGACCTACCCCCAGGAAGCACCCGTGGACGCCGAGGTGGCCGTCACCCCGAAGAATGTGCGCAAACGCAAGACAACCCACAGTGATCCCACGCATGGCAGCTTCTTCCTACGAGTGGGAGCCATCGGTGAGTCCGCCTAATGAACTCCCTCACATCCATGTAACTCTGTGTAATGCAATCAGCTTTCGGACTGGGCGCCATGATCTACATTGGACTGGAATTCGGATCGTTCTTCGAGATACCTTTCGACTCGCCCTGCCACCACATCCTGATCGGAGTGAATCCGCTGCTCCAGATGATCTTCACCTTTATGCAGATGTACTTCATCTTCATGAACGCCCGGGTAAGTCTGAGGGATCTCGGAGCCTAGCTCTAAACTAAAAAACTAAAGAACACTGTAAGCATATGACTACTACCTACTAAAACTACTACTCTACTACTACTACTACTACTACTACTGCTACCAAATACTACCTACTACTGCTATTATCTACGGCTATTCTATATACTCGTATGTTAAATGTTAAAGCCATCATAAGTACACGATACTCCCCATATACTCCCAAGCTCCTACTCAGAGTCCCCTGGCCCCGAAGAAGGGTAGGTCGCGAGGCGAGGTTAGTGTTAATTTACAGTCAAAGGATAGGTCGCGGCATTGTCAAAGTCAGGTTTCGGTTCCGGTATCCGTAAATGTATCTGTATCTCAACCGAACTCAATCCAAAACTCACCACGGACCTCTTTCAATTGGCGTGCTAATTGGCAGTTTTTTAACTTCAGTTCTCATCCATCCGCATCTGTTAGTGTATCTGTATCTGTATCTGCATTTGCAATCACATCACATCTGCCATTATCACTCGCTTGCTTCTCTCAATCAATCAGTCAATCTCCAATGAACATGATAGCAAACAGACAACAGACTTTGAAACAAATAACTATAAAAGGTCAATCTGATTTTAGCTCTAAATAAATCAATAAATCAAAAACTTGTTAATAATAATACAAAGTACTTGATAAAAATACATAAAACATTGTTAATAATAAACGATTGTTATTAAAAGTGTTTTATATTTATTAAATGTCTTAAAGATTCAAGTTTAATGAAAACAAAAATTGTATAAAAAGAGTAACTAAACATCAGATTGACCTCACATCGGGTTTATCCTTGATCCTATCTGTTTCTGAACACTATAACATTATAAATATATGTAGTTCCGATACCCCAGCACCTCAGCACACACTCACACGCCCTAGGACCCATTGAAACAGCCACAGCTCATTCATACATATATCAATCCATATTCATTCATTCACATTCAACCATATTCATTCCATCCAATCCAAAATCAAACGCATAATCATTCTTAAAATAAAAAATTTCGAAATTTTGCTACGTAGTTAATTTAATGAACCATTTTTGTGTACATAATCCCACAACTCCGCCCCATTCGATCGCGATCGCAGACTAGGCCGCCATTTCAGGTACGATATGCAACTCATTTTCTACTCTCTACTCTACTCTACTCTACTGTATACTGTACCCTCTAGCCCTAACAACTCAACCCGTACACCTGTACCCAAAACCCGTGTGTACCTGTACATCAACCTCCCCCGAAAACCCAAACGCTCATTTCGCTCTCACCATAAATGTGCATACCCATGTATATGATACTATGAACTAATCTAAACTCTATAAATATAATATGCATATGCTACGATACACGATAATCCATAGTCTTAAAAAAAACAAGTTAATATATATATCTCTAAGGGTTCGACCGTTTGGTTTTTGTTCTTTGGTCACCAGTGTTCCTGCAGAGATCGGGGTTTTCTATATCATAATATATCATACATAAATGAAGCTGTGGTCCGATTTAAATAAAGGGATATAAATGTCTCACTTTGGGAAAATTTTTAAAGATTAATTCCCTATAGATTCAGTGTAGGTTTTTTAAACGAGATCTATCTATCTAGATCTTGGAAGAAGTACCCATCTCTGGAGGAGCACTGGCCGACAGTTCTTGTTTTCTTCGAACTGAGTTTTTTGCCCGTAATCCATAATCTACATATATTTTATGTAATCAATGTACTCACCATGTCCTGGCCGCCGAAAAGCTTTCCGCCGTACTCAAGCGCTCCGCGCACTCCTTCTCTTTGTCTGTCTCTTTTTCTCTCTCTCTCTCTCTCTCTCTCTGGGATGATCTCCTCCTGCAGCTGAACATCCACCGCTTCAAGGTGATCGCCCGCTTCGGTCTGATGCACGTGGTGGCCACCAACATCTGTGTTTGGATCCGCACCCTGGTCAAGGAATCGCTGCTGGAGATTACCATCTATCATCAGAAGAACGCACCGGAGCCGGGTGCCTCCTCCATTGCTCACTCCATACGGCAGCATGCGCTCCGTCATGCCGGCACTGTGTTACGCACCCATGCGGGGCCGAACAGTGAGTTCGAGGTCCTGGACGGCGAGGATCTGCTGCCCAAGGATGTGTACAAGAGCGACAATGTGCTGTCCAAGCTGGTGCGCAACACTGTGGACGGGATCTCCAAGAGCTTGGGCATGGGAGGCGATGCCATCACCACAACCACAACCACAACGCGGGCACCGTACACCACACCGGGCTACCAATGGCACAGCACTACTATGGCCCGCAAGCTGAAGAAGTTTATCACCAGCACCGCGGCCAGCACGGCTGCGGGCAGTGGCGGCAGTACCACCGCCTCTCCGGGCACCACCATCACCACACCGAGCACCACCTTCAGTCCATTCACCACCACCAGTTCCATCATCAGTTCCACCACAAGCACAGCCAGTTCCATCATCACCGCCAGTACCACAGCCAGTCCCCTGGAGAGCAGCAGCAGCAGCAGCAGCAGCAGCAGCATCTTTGGCAGCGAATCATCGCCCTTTGGCGGCGGCCTGCAGCGAATCCTTTCCAGCGCCGCACCGCCGAGCCTGGCGCCAGTCGATGGGTTCGGTTCCGCAGCAGCCACGCCCGCCGGCGGCAACTCCAATCCCAACTCATTTGTGGACTCATTCCTGGCCAGCACACTGAGCCCGGCCATCAGCAGCACCACCGAGGGCGGTGGCGCCGGCAGCATTATGAACAATCTCTTTGGCCAGGGACCCATGGAGAATAGCTTCCAGACGTATACGGATCTGGGGCACGAGGAGTCCACCGGCCTGGTTAGCTTTGAGAATTTGGAGAGCCTGGACAATATATATCCGGCGGCATTGTCCTCCAACATCGGCACACTCAACTCCACCGCCTGCGGACGGATCGACATTATGGGCACAATCGTTTACGACTCGGCGCCGTATCTGTATCCATTCATCATCGAGTACTCGCTGATCGGGGCGGTGGTGTTGTATGTGATGTGGAAGCACATTGGCCGCTATCCGGGCAGGATGAACGATGAGGATCTGGAGCATCGGCTGGAGGTGATGCTGTCCCGCCGAGCGGTGGCCATGGCCCAGCAGGCGCGATCCGGACGCGTCGACTGCGTTGGCTCGTCGAAGGGCCTGTTCTTCGGGCTGCTGCTGCTGGTCGGGGCCCTCATCTGCCTGATACTCTTCTTCGTCTTGGTGCGCCATCAGCAGTTCTCGCTGTTGGCCATTTACCTGGCCGACGCCAGTCACTGCATCCTGATGGCCTTTGCCATTCTAGCCATCATAGTGGGCTTTATAAGGTCGGCATGCGGTCACCCATTCGAACAATGGCTGTGCAGTGAAAATATAGAGAGATTACAGTGCATATCGAGAGGGAAAAATCTAAAGAAATATATATAGAAATATATATATTGCACTCGAAAATATCATTGCAATTTTAAAAATATCGAAAAATATCACTGTTAGCGTAAAAATTATCGATATTATGGATAAAATATTAGAAACAAGTTTGTTTATTATTTTAATCAGCTTTTATTTGTACTCTTTTTAGTAATCAGTTTATATTAGTTTAGAACATCAAACCGAAAGTAGGTTTATCAAAATTTTAAGAATCGAATTTAGCATTTAGCAAGCAAATTAATGTTTTGAATATTTTGAATTTTGCATATCGATATATCAAACAGAATATCAATTTAACGTTTTAATATTTATAGCAAAGTAAAATGATCGCCTTATAAATCGGCCTTCTTTTGGTATTTTCCTTTTTTAAAGGAAATGCAAATTTAAATAACAGTTTTTGGCTTTATATTTCGCCGTGCCTTTAGCAAACAAATTAATGATTTGAATATATTGACTCGATATATCAAATAGAATATATTTTTAACGTTAAAACATTTATCGCAAAGTAAAATTATTGCATTGTTTCAGTATTTTCCTTTCTTAAAGGAAATGGAAACTTAAATAAAAGTTTTTGGCTTTATATTTTCGCTGTGCAGTCCATTTTATCCACGATCCTAACTATCAGCTAGCTTTACTAATAATTAATATTTTTCCTTAAATAAAAAATAGGGTAAAGAACCTGAAATTCCGCTGTGAGGAGCAGTCAAACCTGAACGACATCTTGCTGCGCATCTCGGCCTTCGGCCTGTTCACCTACTCGGTGTTCAGCATCATTGCCGGTAGCTTGAAGGTCCTGGAGAGTGAGCCCAGCCTCCTGGTGACGACCACCGGCGGCGTGGCCGTCTTCCAAGTGATCCTCCAGCTGCTGTTCATCGCGGACGTGTCCCGGCGTCGCGTCCACCTGCCGGAGCATGACCGCAGCAAGCCCGGCCGCCAGATTGTCACCTTCCTACTCATCTGCAACGTGGCCATGTTCGCCATCTACACCTTCGAAGCTCAAAAAGTATTCGCCAATCCTGTAAGTAGATATGTACGTAAGCGAGACTGAGTTAAGTAAGATGATTAACGCTCTCGTTCTCTACTCGTTGTTCCAATTGTTATATCTAACCGATATCTGTACTCATTAATGCATGCTTGGGATTTATAAGTATTAAGAGAAAGGAGCTCTAATATTAAACATAAACTTAATTATTAGAAAATATTTAAACTGAAATTAATCGTTTCTGTAATGCTTTTCGGGTTGCTTTAAAAGAAATACATTTTTAATATTTACTACCAGCTAGGATTGTACATATATCGAGAGAAAAGTTATCGCAGTTTGATATTTTAAATATCGAAAAATATCATTTTGAATCGATTAATTTGAATGAATCTCTTTTTAAACATTTACAAGGTTTAATAAATGGAAAGCTAGGAAAAACTTTGATATTTGTACTTAAAAGAAACTATTTTTACATAACCAAATAGGGAAAGCTTAGATTCCTTTATTTTAAACTAATAATAATGTTAATGTTATGACTTTCTTGTACTTGTTTTCCTGCTATATCCATATATATATTAACCCTTAATAATAGCCCTGCATGATTAATTAATGTTTTAGCTGAGAAGTACCTTACGCTTAGGCTTATCATTAACCCTGAAACCACACAAATACATCCACAGGTTCAGCTGGAGTTCTACGGCTTTGTGCCCTGGTCAATCATCCAGCGCATCACACTGCCTCTGTGCATCTTCCATCGATTCCACAGCGCCGTGACACTTGCCGAGATCTGGAAGACCACCTACAAGGCACGCCTGGAGTAAGATGGCACACATGGCAGCGTCTACAGCCTGGAGGAGGCTCTATGGGATGCGGATGTGGGAGTTATAATGAAAATGCACCAAAACCAAAATGTAGCGAACCCAAAAACAAAACAAAAGCAAACGCAAAAAACCAGAAATCAAGTGAAGGAGAAGAGTTAGTTTCTAATTACGTATTAAAACAAAAACAAAAACAAAAACATATGCATACTACATATAATATATACATTAATGCAGATATGAATATATTCTGATTTTGTGTTCTTCGTTTTCGTTTTTTAGTTACTAAGTTCACGAACGAAACGAGATCGATTAACCCAAAAAGAAATCCGATGACCGATAACGATAGCACGCGCCTTCTCATTTGCTTCCCATTATTTTTTTTACTTTGTTAAAACTGTGGAGAAAAAGAACTTAAGAACTAAGTCATAGCGTTTACAGTTTCGCCCGCACGCACCCATTATTGCATCTGAGTTAAATATTTAATATTATTAAATTAAATACCTATGTTTATAGTATACATTATAAACCTTATTGTTTAGTTTACACTTTAGTTTTAGTTTCGTCTCCAACACCGCCGCAATATCCATTGTTACTAACGAAGCGAAGGTTAATATATACATTTTATATTTGTTTTAACCCATTAAAACCCCAAACGATAACAAAAACTAAAAAAAATCGATTAAAAATTCACATTGCGAATAAGATGGAAATTATTCGATAACAAAATGGTTGTTTACTTTTCGCGTTGTTTCGCGATTGCGATTTTTGGGGTACAATACAATACACTCACACACACACACACACACACACACACACATTTTGAGGGAAAAACACATACACAGACACTCACGAACACACCTTAAGCAATGCCATGAAGAATGCAGCCACAGGAAACGGAAATGGAAACGAAGCGAAACAGGAAACGATAACAGTTGGAACATGTTCACACTCCTGCATTCGGAATCAATTTTTCAACTTGACTTTTTCCACTTTTTCAACAACAAAACAGTAACAGCCGAACAACAACAACAAACTGTGATGAATTCTATGATTTGTTTCACAATTTTACACCTATTTTTGTGTTATTTTTCTTATAGTTTCTCAGCCGCAATTAATTCACCAAACTTTTGTAAGAATTTAGAAACCACAATGGCGCTAAGACAACTTCATGGCCAATTGTAAAAACAAATTCCCACAGAAAACAAAAAAAAAAGAAACAAAACAGGAAAAAAACAAAAAGAAGAAAAAACATACAAATTTGGGGCGCATTCAAAGGGCCAAAAAACACACAAAAACAAATAAAAAAATGAAAAGAAAAACCGAAAAAAAAAAACATTTTTAATATATACATTATATAAAAGTTTATAAATGTCCATTTTTTGATTATTAGTAGTGATGTTAAAGAGCAAAACAACATATAATTAAACGGTAAACAAATAATAATAATAATAATAAATTGAAATATGTATGTATGTTATAGGAGAAGAATCTCGGCTAAAAACCATTGAACTTTCAAAAACAAAAGAGAAAATCAACAAAATACTTGAACGAAACAAAATGATCAACTTTTTCCCAGTGAATCCCCGCATTTATGATCGAAACGAAGAAAAGATTGAGCAAGGATTAAGGAGCTCCGAAGCAGGATTGAAACCATTGACAAGCATCAAATTGTTTACAATTTACAATGTTAAAACAAAAAAGAATGGAAGAGAACGAAGTTTGAGACGAAGCAAAAGCATTTTGAAAAGAAAGATATATATTGCCACGTATATCTATAAATATATGTATACTAACCCACCAAATTCAAAGTATTTCAAACGTTTTATACAAGGAGACGGAAGTCGAGTCACGAAGAGCCGTCTTTAGCCCCCCAACATTATTATAAACATTATCTTCTCCCCCAAAAGAACCTTCAAACTTGTATTCCTCTCCAGAAAAAATAACGAAATGAGGCGGGAAAAGACCAATGAAAGTGGAGGGAATTTCGTTGAAATTTGTTGGCAGAGAGAAGAACACTAACTACACACTGCCCACTTGCCCACAGAGATCGGCGATTTATAATCTATATACATATATATATATATATAAAGCATTAACTGTAGGCGAGAGCGCAGCAGCAGTTCAGAGTTCAGTGTCGCAGAATACGTATTCAATACTCGTCGTAATCGTAATCCAATCAAATGTAATGTGGTAGCAAAGCCAAAAGCAAACAGAATTAAAGCCATAAGTATGTAGAGTTCAGCACACACACATACACGTACACCCACACACAAACACAAACACACAGACAGTCAGTCATTAATCACGGATCAAGGATTCTGATACCGATCGATATTTACGATATATTCAAAAGTTTGCGAATCAAATTCAGTTTGAAACTTGTACTTGCGTGTAGGCCCTTAGAGATTGTACTTGAAAGCATATATAAGCCACAAAACATTATATTACATATACATATATATAATATATAGTTATATATTAATATAAAATTATAACTATTAATATATAAATATATGATTATATAAAAGCCATTGTTTTTGTCCTTAACATTTAGTTTAAACGTAAGATCGAATCATATTTTATGCCGTACAACAACGTGAACCAGGATTGGAGCAGAAATATTTATTAAATGTTTCAACTAAGTTGTATAATTATAAGTGAGAGGCAAGAGAAGTTTACATAATGGAATTATGTAAGGTGAAAAGGATCATGATAAGTAGTATTCAAACCAAAAAACAACCAAAACTCCCAAACAGACAAAAACTTAACGCACAATGATAACAAAAAACAAAAAGAAAACAACAGCTAAAGCCCAACAAAACACACACAAGATATATATATACATATATATATATAGGCGTACTTATATATATATACTCCGTAAGTATATAGACAATTTCAATAACTGGTAAAATATATATGCATATATATATATATACAGAAGAAAAGCAAAATTTACATGCATCTCAAAAATACATTTTCCGCATTAACCGCATCGAAAACAAAAGAAAACTTAACAATTACGACGACAAAAATGTGTGTACGCGATGGAAGGAATATTATAAAACCAAAAATTACAACCACAACAAAATTACAAATTATTAATTACAAATTAAGGATAATGATGGCTCAGCAAAACCAAGAAAACAACTCAACAAAATATCCAAAAATTGTAAGCAATTTTTTAAAAACATTCGTCGTATTTTAGATACGAACAAAAACAAATCCAACAATTAACAACATTTCCACATTTCCTTTTCTGTTATAAACATTCATTCATACACCACACACCATACCATACACCATTCATACACCATACATCACATTCATACATCACACCCACACTCGCTCAGTTGAGTTCCATTGCATAACGAATACAAAATGAGAAACCAAAAAGAAAATGAATGAAAGTAACAAGTTTATGGTAAACGAAGACAAGAAAGGCATACAAGTAATTTTAAATTGAATAAAAATTAGTATTAAATATGTACAACAAAAAAAAAGTGTCTTTTATTTATTTCCAATGGGGTTCTTCACTGTGATAAGGAAATCAAATCAGTTTGGTATTTATAACCCTGAGTGGGGTAATTCTACCGAAAAACTGTAGAAAAACAGGTAATACCTAAAAAAAAAAATCGAAAACCCTTTTTTTGTGTAACCCCAAGTGATTAAGTAATGTGTAGGTCTGATTTTTGTATCCCTGAGCGAGCGGTACAAACAACTTCTTCCCCTCCAACTTTCCTCTTGTTAGAATCTTGAATCAGAAACCTTATGCTTTATAAAATAGTTCATGACAAGTTTATTTATATAAATAAATGTATATTTTTCTTCTTCACACAACTTATAAAAGCCCAGTGTTTGATGAAAGAAACTTTATTTGATCAGTCTTGGACTTAAGATTTATTTTTCAATGTCTATTTCAATTCTTAGTCTACACTTTGAATAAACCAGGAATGGAAATTATAGGGTCGGAAATGGGTCTTCCACATAATAACAACCTTCTGACTGAATTTATAATACCATTCTTTGAGCCGATTTTTACCTATATTTATATGACAATTTGCTCTACAAATCAAAATCTAAAAAACTCATAACTAAGCTAAAAAAGCATAAAATTCAATTCGGAAAGCTGTTCTGTGCTAGTTTTTGATATATTAATAAATCTGCATACTCAATTTAACGCATTAACAAATTTCAAATTTTTCAATTTTTTTAAACTTTGAAAGATGTAAAATTAAATCATAAAATACAAAAAAAATTTCAAAAAATTGTTTCCTGTCTGAGATGGCTAGATCGACTCGGCTTTCGATGCTGATCAAGAATATATATGATTTATAGGGTCAGAAATGGCTCTTTCGTAAGTTATAAGCTTCTGACTGAAATTATAATACCATTCTTTGAACCGATATTTATCTATATTTATATTTATATTATTTCTAATTATTTTCCCAATAAAATAATAAAAACGAAAGAATACTTTACCCCATCAAAAGGCTGGACTGGCCACATTCAGATTCAACTGGAAGCTGGCCCATCTATAGTCACGGCTATCCGGGTCCCGCACCAGGCACATCAGTGGCGTCGGCTTTCCTCCCTTGCCAGGTGGTAGTTCGCGGATGAGCTCCTGAAGACCGGCGGCCGTTACATAGCCCACGGCACAAACCGAGGCCTCCGTCAAGCTGAACCCGGCGGATCGCACATAACCAAAGACTTCGCGGCTGCACTGGCGGCGCACGCTGTCCCGCATCTCCGAGGTATCGGTGGGCAGCCACAGGCGGCACATTGTCTCTAGTTGCGACCGCACCAGCTGTGCTGTGTTGGCCGCACGGATGTGCACCCGCTTGGTGGCCGTCTCCTGAAGGCGACGCTTCTCGCGTACCCTTTGCGCCCGCAAGCGCTTCAGCTTGAGCTTATGGCTTTGGCGCAGCTCCTTCCGCTCCCGCTCATTCAGATCCGGCAGCGAGGGCTCTACGTGCACTGGTGCCGCCTCATCGCGCTTCAACTGGCGCCAGCGCTTTTTGTAATCCGCAGTCGTGGGAAGGCAAATCAAAGCATTGTCCTTCACATGGCCACGGGCCACGAGTCGCAGTTGGATCTGGATGATGGCCTCCGCGGGGAGGGTTTCTGGCAGAGGTTGGCGCCGCTTCAAGCACTCAGCGATCGCCTCCAGTTGCTGCCGATGCCGCAAAACGTAGAAGCCCATTGAGCCACTGGCAGCTGGAGCATCAGATGAACGCCAGTCTCGCACCAGGTGTTTCCAGGGAGCACTAAACGGACTGGTCACCGCCAGTTTCCTGTAGTTTGTGCGCTTGTTGGGCGGCAGTCGAAAGTAGCGGCCACGCAATTCATCGGCCGACGCAGCAGACTCTTGGGCACCAGCTACTGTGTCGGGCAAGTGCATCTCAGCGCCCGCCTCTCTGGCCACCGTATCCAGCTCCCTCAAGCCACCGGGCCTGGCGCCCCACATAGTCAGCGTCAGCCAGACGATCATGCCATAGCCAGCCGGTACAATCACATCCCAGCCGCAGCCATATGCTAGCCTCTTGTAGCTGGAGTTCTGAGAGCCTGGTCGCTGGATCAGTATCAAGGGCACTGTCTGCATTTCCTGTTCGAATGCGCATGGTGCTCCTGGAACCACAGCATGCTGCTGACGCAGCTGTTCGTACGCCTGCGTGGTCATTATTCCTGTGGCCAGTCTCTTCCGCGCCTCCTTGTCCCACAGGGGACTCCCTGGTAGACCCTTTGGCTGACGCATTAACAGATCTCCGGCAGTGCAGCTTGGCTGTTCTGGAGTTCCTTCGGCTTTTGTACGCTTCTTTGGTCGCTGCAGGCGTGGATCGACGACTTGGTAGCCCATCACTAGGTTAGACAGCAGCTCGCTGGGCGAACTCAGCTGTAAAGCCGCCTGGCAGTAGTCGGTGGCTTCGTCATGCAGCTCATTCTGTCTCGGACGGAGGCTAGCGGCCAAGACGCGTTGCGCTCGAGGTCCCGTCAAACGAAACCGATTGAAGGCATGCTGCAGCAGCACCAAATGAATAGTTTCGTCCGAATTGGAGTAGCTGGGCTGCGGCTCAAAGGCCTTGGTATGGGTCCAAAAGCGCAGGGGTTTCTCTGAAGGTTTCTTTCCATTGAGATTCTTCTTCTCCTCGCTTGGTACCTCCATTTCCTCGTCAACTTGCTCGTTCAATGGTAGCTTCTGTTGTTTCTCTGACTTCAGCTGAAAGACTTGCAATAATTGATCAATGGTAGCTTGAGCAGCACTGGGATGCAGCCACAGCCAGAGGGTGCGTTCTTGCTCATCCTCTTCCTTTGGTGGACACCAGAGAAAGCTTGCCCGCTGCAGAGCTCCGTGCGGATACTGGCCGTCTGCGAAGAGCTCCACGCTGCCCTCTCGCCGTCCGCTAACATAGGTCTTGGCCGCAATGCCCAGGCCACACTCCGGACTCGTTAGCCTGGCGAATCCTTGGCGCAATGCATCCAAACTGCCACGCAGCTCCACACAGCCGTAGAAGGAGATGTCCTGCAGCAGACAGTGCTGGGCACTGGCGCGATAGCAGGCGCGGTAGGTCTTGTCGCAGCTGGCGAGGGGCAACCGGTGACCCCAGCGATCGACCATGTGAAAGCGCTTTGCGTGCCAGATGTGCGTCTCCAGCCAGACATGTCGCCTCTGCCGGCGTATGTACTCACGAAGCAGGTTCTTCGGCCGGCGGCGATACTTCCTCGAGGGACGCTTGCTGTTCACCGGCTGGTTGCCGCCTTTGCCCATCTGGGACTTGTGCGCCTGGCGGTACTTACGTGGCAGCCGCTTCGGGTGGTGCGACATCGCCCGGCGGCGCATGTGCTTGGGCAGCGTCTGGAAGATCAGCTTGCTGCTGCGCTGCGTCGTCTGCTCGGCGTCCGCGATCAGGCTCCGGATCTCCTGCAGCGCTCCGGCCGCATAGTGGTACGTGGTCACGTGCGAGGGCAGCGTCACTCGGCCACCCAGGCTGGAGTCGTATTCCAGCTTCTGGCTGCTCATTGTTGTGAATTTAAATTTAATTAAAATCCAATTCGGAGCAAGAAAAAAAAAACAAACTAAAAGCGCGGACATGTGCCCGCTCTTTTTCGTTTACAAGTGTGACCAAAAGTCGTTGAGCCAAAACATTCGTCACAGTATCGATACTATCGTTGTTTACTTAGATAAATCTATATATATATATTTATATATCCCAGCATGTTTGCTTTCATTCAAATAAAATAATTTGATTTATTTGAACAAAAAAATATTAAAATCAATTTACAATTTAATTCATTCAATAACCAGAACACATATATTAAAACATCGATACTATCGACAGTAAATTTTTGTAAATATCTGACATTTCCAATAAAAATAATATGTAAAAATATTTCCACAATTAATTATAAATTGAATATTTATTAATATAATAATGTTTTCGTTATGAAATATTTGATAATTATCAGTATTTTTGGTAAAAAAAAAAAATTAAAACACATTATACATATAAAAAATGGTTTTTTTATCTAAATGAATAGAGTTTATTGTTAATATGGATATAAATTATATAAGTAACTAGAAATGAATGATTAAAAACATCAAAAGTTACAAAGCTCGATATTTTTGCACAACTAGCTCTAGTTGCCAATGCAGATCTACTCGACTTGCTCTTCGGGTGAAAAAATAGCTAAACTTGAAATTAAAAACCTTAAACTGACCAAAATATGTTAATTTTAGGTAAAAATAATATAAACCAAACGAACTTCGATATTTTTGAGGTACTACACCTAATTGTTATTGGCAGATTTACTTGTTTTGTTCATGTGGTCATAAAAAAAGCTAAACTTTGAAAATAAGCTACAAATGTCCACGAAATTATTATTGCAGGTTAAATATCATATAAAATGTGATTTTAATACTTGTGGGATTTTGTTTTTAATATACTGTATTGAATTTTCACTGATCTTCACTTAAAACAAAAAATTTTCTCAAGTTCGCTCTCTATATCAGTTGCATTGAAAAATTAATTTAATGATGTTCTAGATGTTCAAAACGATACAAATAATTTTAAAACATAAAATTTAACTAAATTCAATTGGAAAATAACTATAATTCTTGCTTGCCGAGGTATTTCGCACTTGTCAATTGAAAAACTACAGAAAACTTGGAAAACAGCTAATTTGGCAACACTAGTTTTGTGCTTACGTTACCAAAAGAGTGTGGCCAGCTCCCAAGGGGAGAGAATCCGCTGTCTTCTGCAGCATAGAGAGTATTAGATCTAGACTGCCACACTGCTCGATTTGTCGCATAAAAATTTGCTTGCGTTTGCTTCGTCGAATTAAACCCGTGTTTTTGTGTTGTTCTTTCCCCCCAGCCAGCTAAAACCAATCGATATGGTGAGTGGGTCATCCTCCGGTTACTATTTATTGTTTATTGAGGCCTCCGGCCATGACGCCCTTCCGCCGCCTGGAAACTGACACTCATGTTTTTCCATTGTTGTTTTTCTTTTCCATTGCAGGCAGCTTACACCGAGGATCAGTTGGCTGGTGAGTGTGTGTGTGTGCGCGCGGGGAAAAGTGTGTGCAAGTGTGGGTGTGGGTGTTGGTTTGGAATTGGAAACGGTATGGAAATAGGCGCAGAAGTTGCAAAGTGCCAACAAAACGGAATAAATTGCAAATGCGCTGGCACATCGCGCTCCCTCGTCATCTCTTTCTCTTTCTCCCACCGCCGCAGGGCGGGCGGTCGCTCTGCATTGGAATGCGGGAGTGTGAAAGCGATGACACGAAAGTATGTGTGTTACACATCTTCATAGGCGGCATATATATGCTGTGTGCATGAATCATTGATAAAACAAATACGCTGGAAAGCAGCCATACGAATACGATGATCGTGACTCACCGAAGAGGAAGAGGCGGTTCAAAAAACAGCAACTGGCATTCATTTCCAAGGCATTCCAGCAAGTCGAAGTTGTTAATGCCCTTCCAGTTATTGGAAAGAGTACCCGTTTATCTGTACTTCGATACTGTTAGGTATTCCAGTGGAATTGTTTGTTTTTGTTTGACTTGCGATTTTAAAGCGAAATCTGCAAATATAATTAATTGGTCCTATAGTAATGGCTGATTTCAAATGAGAACTGACAGTTGTTTAGAACTGTATTTCCCGGTTAATAATTATGGAAATGATCCATTTTCGATGTATGCTATGTATTAGATTCAGCTATAACTTATGTATAGGAGTTCGATTTTTAAATCCCCTTCCTCACGTCAAAATGATTGCAATACCCTTGCAGTAGGGTAAGGTTGAAGAAAAAAAAACACTACTCTCAGGCGAAAGGAAGTCTGAGCGATAAGATATAGATAAGGGGGGTCTACAAAATGGGATAATCACACGGTTTTTCGACACGCCGGCTGCTCGTTTCAAATAAAACTGCAATTGCAGTGGCAAAAATCACTCAATGCGATAAGAGCCGGCTGCCAAACCAGCTCCAAAATGAAACCAAAAAGAATAAATAAATAAAAGCCGAAAGCCGAAAGCCAAGCTTCCATTTATGGAATGTCAACCGACTGTGGGTCAAAGGCAGGGTAATTCGCACTTTGATTCTAATTCCAATACCGATTCCGTAGCCTTTCCAATCGCTTCCAATCGAAATCTTTACGCAATTGATAACTTAATCGAAGCCAATAGAGTGTGAGTTTTCTGATAATTCCAACCATGCTCTCTGACATTCTGACGTCAGCCCTCAACCGCATTCGACCATAAATATGTATATGCATATGTATATATATATATTTCGATTCCAATTCCAACTTACCTGGCCTCCGTTGCGTTGCAATCTTTAACTTTTAGCTGTTCTCGCCATTCGTCGCTGTTTTGTCATCGCCTAAAATGGACAAAAATGTGCTGGAATCGTTTGTTTTTATTGCCATTTTAGGATCACGTATTCGGCGCCGCTGTAGCATGATAACCAAACAAAAAAAATAAGTTTTAATATCTGTACAGGTCATCGAATGTCACACACTCTTATTATCGAGACTAAAAAAATATTGAATTCTGAATTAAGGTAGAATTTTGGAGGCTTATTCGAGTAATTTGTTAATTTTAAAGATTCTACAAGTGTTATATTCATCTTGTAATGATTTTTAACCTTAGTTCGCTTTAAATCATTGTTATATTTTAATAATTGAAATTCAGAAACTAGGGAAAACATGAATAACTTGGTCCTTATTATCTGTAAGGTAAACTCAACAAGTTAAAAGAACTATTTACCTATTCATGATTTTTTATATATTTAAAATTTCACAAGAAAACAGTCTTTAATCTTTACTCAATGTATTTAACCTCTTTTAAAGTATTTAATCCCGAAAATCCTCGCACAACTTGCTTCTTCACTTGTTTATTAGCGACTGTCGTTAGCAATCTTAGGAAACTGAAGAATAGGGCTGCCTTCTTTTCTTCTTATTTCGCAAACTGCAATGCAGTTGCCCAGAAACCAAAACCTTGGCTTAAAACAAACAACTTTTTCCGGTCGATCGGTCGGTGAATCGTTTTGTTTATCAGAATTATAAACAAGAGCGAGCTTTGGCGCCAGACTTAAGGGGAGTTATGCCGGCACTTGGCGGCTGGCTGTGGAGCACTTCTCTGGCGAAGTGAGGGTATCGCATGACCAAGGAGCAAGGCAGGCAAGGGGGAGCAGGCAGGGGGAGCAGGCAGACACACTAGATTTCCAAGCCGATGGCCAGCCGCCAAATCCGGGCAGGCAGGCAGGCAGTCAGTAGCTGGCAAGGCGGTCATCGGAGCGGTTCAAGATGTATTACTACACGGCACACGTAAAGCACACCTTTACCACCCTGGAAGGTGACAAGAAAGGGGGGATTTGGAGCTGTATATACACTAATTAATTCTTTATACTAATCCTTGTAATATGTATCTGCCCCACAGAATTCCAGGAGGCCTTCAATCTGTTTGACAACCGTGGCGATGGCAAAATCCAGCTGAGCCAGGTGGGCGAATGCCTGAGGGCCTTGGGCCAGAACCCCACCGAGTCGGATGTGAAGAAGTGCACGCACCAGCTGAAGCCAGATGAGCGGATCTCGTTCGAGGTCTTCCTGCCCATTTATCAGGCGATTTCCAAGGCCCGGTCCGGCGATACGGCCGATGACTTCATTGAGGGACTGCGTCACTTTGACAAGGACGCCAGCGGTTACATTTCCTCCGCCGAGCTGCGCCATCTGCTCACCACGCTGGGCGAGAAGCTGACCGACGAGGAGGTGGAGCAGCTGCTGGCCAATATGGAGGATCAGCAGGGCAATATCAACTACGAGGAGTTTGTGCGCATGGTAATGAGCGGTTAAGCTAGCTGCCGCCTCCTCCTATTTCCAGCTCCTCCAGCACCAGGACACACAACACTAAACACACACACACACACACACACACACACACTCCGAAGAACCTGCCAAGCTAGCTGAGCCATTCATTCCGCCAGAAGTTCCAAAAACTCCGTGATTCCCCCACATTAATCCAGTCGACAGGCAACGAAGGACACATCGAAGCAAGGATTATTGGAGCAAATGCTATTCCCACACTTCCAGACTAACCAATCAATCATATAGATTCTTGATTAATCACTAATCGAAGCTGAAGCGTCTGTTGAAATGCGTATTATTCTAAAGCAGAACCGAAAATATAGAGAAACATTAAGATGAAAGTAATCAGTAATTATATCCCGCATAGTCCAGGCGTTCTTTTGTACCAATATCATATAACTATATCTATATTTCAACGGGAGACAGCGAGAGTATCACGAAAAGTATTTCTAAACTATATATAACTTGATATACGAGCGTGTGTGTCGTATGTCTGAATTTAAAGGCGCATTTTGAAGTTTTACATGTTTATTTTTTTTTATTAATTTAATATTTGTATTTAATAAATAATTGAAAAAAGAAAACAAGTGAATGTGTAGGTCTTTTTACAAAAGAAAAGTACTTAAATCTATTAAACCAATTGAAACCTAAGCAACTGGTGTTTTTTGTTGGTTTTTTGAAGGATCTGGATATTTATATACTTTAATTTTAGGATTTTAGCTTTACCGAATTCAGTGACTTCCTTAATATTGTAAAAGTTTGTTAAATTCTAAATGATATTTTAATATTTCCAATTAAATAGAAAATATCTTTGATAATATAATATATATAATTATCTTTTCATATTCCAGCTTCAGATAGTTCCGCGATTTCCAAAATTCTGTATAAGTTTCAAAAAACTAAATGTTATTTGTATTATTTAAATTAAATTAGTTATTCTCAAATTATAACTCCAAAAAGATAGGGACTTCCCCTAATTTTGTAAGAGATGGTTAAGAACTCATTATCTTAGTATCCCTAAATCTTAATCATAACGTTTTTTGTAAGATTAGGATTTTTTTATTTATTAAAAATTATTTTGATATATTTCCAGATCATTTGAAGATAATTTTAAAACTTCAAATTTAAATATAATACTTTTAGTATTAAACTGAAATACTGTCATATGTATGACAGTTTCACACATCTAGTATTTAAATACCTTCTTTGGGTATTTTTCCCAGCTCGTCTCCATGGATTGATCTCTTTGCCAAACTACAGTCACACTTGTGTACCAAATTCAAATAAGCTTAAAACTGAAAAACTTGTCGCGGATATAAAAACCAGAACTAAACAATGTCAAACAATAAGGAGTCGTACCAAGTGCTAAACGCCGAACTAATGGCCGAAGTGCAGAAGCTGCGCCTGCTGGTCGCTGCCTACAAGCGACAGGTGACGACCCTTGTGCGGGAGAATATGGGGTTGCGGGAGGCGCAGATTCTGCAGGGCGGTTCCGGCGGTCAGCAGCAGAGTTCACCCAACGGAGTTAAGAACATGATGTGGCGCTGGAAATTCAACTCCAGCTGTCTGGGTACTTCTTCGGTGTCTCGCCCGTCCAAGGCCAATAGTCGCCGCTACGGCGACATAGACATCGCTGTGGAAGAAGCGTCTGAAATCGGAAGACCGAAGGTATCTAATGTATACAGAGTAGGGGCTCCCGCCTTGCATATCTATTTGATCCGTCTCCCGATCTTTCTGGACAGATTGCGACACCGCCAGTAAATCCAACCATTCATGAGGATGGCGTCCCCAGCGATGAGGACGACGGATGGAAACCGAAGAACAGGGATTCGATAATGCGCAAAATTGCCCGCTTGTGTGGGCGCAGGGTCAAATTTCTGTGATTGATTCGAGGAGATCTGGAAAGGTTGATCCGGCTCTAATGTTGGTCCCAAGGAGCTATCCCCAAAAGCCAAGATGCAGCACAATAATTTATAGTCCACATTTGAAATAAACATTTAAACGTCATAAGACGTAATATTTAACCACTCTTCGTTTTATTGTTCACTTGGGGCTTTAGTAATATTACATTCAAAACAATAAACGAGATTCCGTCAACTTTTAATGATTGGATTTAAAAGGTTTAAGAAAGGGCTTTAAAAAAATATATAGTAAAAAATTATTTAATGCAATACGTCGATTGAAATTTAAATTCACGTTCACAATATTATGTTTCATAACTTCGGAAAGTCGAACTTTATATACTCTTGCAATTTGAAATTAAAGTTTAGAAAGCCCAAATGTGAATACCCTTGCAGAAATCGAATTAAAAATACATATATTCTAGGTATATTGAGTATATATTTAATTGAATAATATATTTTTATATGTTAATTTTGTGGGTAAATCAGAGTTTTTCAAATATCACAACTAAGCCAAAAATGCTTTAATTTTAATTCGGAAAACTGTTCTGTGCTAGTTTTTATAAAGTTAACAATTCTGCTTATTTAGTTTTAAAATTAAAAAAATCCATATTTTAATAAATTTTTGTCAACATTTTATCTGTTGAAAAAATTTAAAAAAAATTTTTTTCCACCGGACATAGCTAGTTTGATTCAATTTTTAATGCTGATCAATAATATATATGATATTTAGGGTCAGAAATTACTCCTTCATGACATTGCTAGCTTCTGATTGAAATTATAATACCCTGTAACACCGTTTAAGTGTGCATATTTGGCACAGGTGGTTCTAGACCGAAGTCTTATTTCTAATACATAATCTATATATGTAGATGATATAATTATCATGGTTAAGACTTACCGCAGTAGAGGACATCCTTTTCTCCATTTCTTAATGCCGTCCAGTGTAGACTTTAATTATGCTTTTCATGCTTTCCTCTAGATGAGCTTCTTCCTGGTTATCCAGACATTAAGTATTCCCCAGGAGACTGGGGTCGGAGGCCAATCACTAATCACTACCACTATCACTAGAGATGTTAACTGCAGGGAGGCCACGTACACACTGAGGGCGGTGAGATGGTAGCGGCTGTATTTATAGTCTCCGAGTAAAGAGAATAACAGAGATAGCGAGAGCGAGAGCAAGAGCGAGAGCGCGAAAGAGAAAGCAATATCTCTAGAGATAGAGAACAAAATAACTCAAGAGGTACACAGAGAAAGAGAGAGAGAGAGAGAGATAAACTTATATTTAACATTAACATTTCTAGTCGCCCGATTTTAATCAAATTAAAACCAAAATAATAAAATAACACCTAATGGCTTAAAAAATATATTTGCAGATCGTTTTCGTTTTTGAATTCAAATTTCAGAGATCCAATCGATTGCAGTGAGAATCGATTACAAGGTATTCGTTCCGGTCGTTATCGACAACATTCTTCATATCGATTTACTTAGACCAGGTGGCAGCACTGCTTGCTCCAAAACAAAAGCTTTGGAATTTAATTGCAACTGCAATTCTTGTATTAAATTCACATTGTTACCCGCTTTTATTTGCCGGAAATTGTGGCCCAAGGAGTGGAGCATGCCCAGGAACACGGTGGCGGGCGGTGGGAGTGGAGCCGGTGCTGAAGGCGGTGCCCCGGAGCCAAGTTCGCCCGTGCAGAAGGTGTGGAAGCCGGAATGTGAGTCAATGAGAAGATGGAAGAAGGATGGGCAACTAATCTAATCTCTGTTGGTTCTCTTCCTCTTCCAGTGTACAAGCTGCAGCTGGAGGCGCCGGCTCCCTGTCCCCTGCGCTGCCAGCGCACGCTGCCCCTGCCGCCGGCCAAAAGCACCGCGGAGGCCGTGGAGGCCAACAATGCGGCTGGTCGCCTCTACGGCTCCGAATACCACGGCCTGATGGGTCACCTGGAGGCCGAGCAGCTGCTGGCCAATGCCCGCGACGGCAGCTATCTGGTGCGGCGCAGTCCCCAATCCGATGGCTATTACACGCTCAGTCTGCGCTTCAATAAGCTGGCCAAGCACTACAAGCTGCTGCACAAGCCGGGCGTGGGTCACTACCTGCGCGGCCAGGACAAGCGCTTCGACACGGTTCACGACATGGTGGCCGATGGCCTAATTAACTTCCACATGCAGCTCCATGCGAGTCCCATTATCCAGCAAATCAATCAACAGACGCGGAATTGCTACCAGCAGTCGCCCTACATGACATTGAATGGCCGCAAGCTGAGGGCTTTGTCCAATGAAATGGGTGGCAAGGCTGCATCCGGAGCTGCTCCAGCTGCCGCTCCTGCTGCTGCTCCCACCTCTGAGTCAAATGAGGCTCCCAAGGGAGAAGAGGCAGCTGTAGAAAAGCAAAAGTTGGAGGAGGAGGAGACACCGCTGCCAGCCCTGGATCCCATGCCGCTGGTGTACGAGAAGCTGCATCACTTCAAGGTAGGATTTGGCCATAGAAATCGCAACTATATCTATATCTACATCCATCCATCAGGTGCACACCTTCAAGGGCCTCAATTGGTGCGAATTCTGCGCAAACTTCCTGTGGGGCTTCACCGCCCAGGGTGTGAAGTGCGAGGCCTGCGGCTTTGTGGCGCACACCAAGTGCTCCGAACTGGTGCCGCCCAAGTGTGTGCCGGATCTGAAGCGTATACGCGGTGTGTTTGGCACTGATCTGACCACCATGGTGCAGCTGGAGCCGCATCATCTCATACCGTTTGTGGTGCGTCGCTGCGTGGAGGAGGTGGAGGCCAGGGGTATGCTGCAGGAGGGCATTTACCGGGTGTCCGGCTTCGCAGATGAGATTGAGGCATTGAAGCTGGCCCTGGATCGGGATGGCGAGAAGACGGACATGTCGGAGACAACGTATGGGAATGTGAACGTAATTGCCGGCACATTGAAGTTGTATCTGCGCCTGCTCCCAGTGCCGCTCATCACGTTTCAGGCATATCCCAGCTTTATGGCCGCAGGACGTAAGTGTTCTCCATGTACTTCATGCCGCTCTGGATTATCTCAGTTTATATGTTTCAGGCAACGGCAAGCAGGCGGAGCAGCTGCAGCTGATGACGGAGGCAGTGCGTCATTTGCCGCCAGCGCATTACAGTTGCCTGCAATACATGCTGGAGCATCTGAAGCGGTGAGTGAGGGGAGCTCCCTAATCCTTATTAGCTTCCTAAATAATCCCCATACCCACAGTGTGGCCTCGCACTATGCCGTGAACAAGATGAACGAGCACAATCTGGCCACCGTCTTTGCCCCCACGCTGATTGCCACGCCCCAGCACATGACCAATCTAACGGAGGAGATCTTTATGCTCTCCTCCCTCATCGCCCACTGCAAGACAATCTTTGCCAGAAACTGAAACGGAGTGCGAGCAAACACCAAACAGAGCGGAGCCGCTTCTGTTCTGTCTCTGTCGGATCCGCATCCGGATGTCCTTAAAAGCACAGAATCCTTAATTACACTTTGCCAAGCATCCAATATACTTATATATTTTACTCGTAACCCGATGATTCCACCAAAAATGTAGCCTAAGATCAAAGGAGAAGATTTTATAGTGTCTTTTTTTATTTAAGTATTCCAAAAAACAAGAGAAAAACTAAGCAAGCAAAAAGTACACATTCAATGTTGTAATTTACGAATTTAACGAATCTCGAAATATTTTTAGAACAAGTATTTTACATATATATCACAATAAATGTATTTATTTTATTTATAAATTATAAAACAAAAGCTTTTTCAAGAGTTTTGAAATGAATTTAAAGGTAAATACCCGGTTTTTAAGAAAAAATAATAGGGAAATTAAGAAATTGCAGTAAAAACTTGATGAATTTTTGTTACAAATCGATAAAAATTTGAAAATTGTTTAGAATTTTGAAAAGTTTGTGTACAATTTAGGGAATATATTGGAATTGCCCTGAAAATTGCATGATAATTCAAATTTCTTATAACTTTTTTAAGAGTTTTATTAACAAATATGTTAAAAATAGTAATGAATCGATAACGCGTTATCGATTTATTATAAACACAAGACTTTCTAGGAAATTGCTATCAAAATAATATTTAACAATAATTTCTTATAGATTCTTGATATAATATATTTTATTTCAGAATTTATGGTACGTATAAATATATTAAAATCATATATACAAATATAAAAGGCAGGCTTTGACATACTTGTCACCTTAGAGGCATATCCACATTATCATTCTGTAATCAAAGTCAGTCGAAATCGGTTCAAAATAATAATAATATTAATATTTCCTTAATATTTTTCCTTTCTTTGCGATCAATTTGAACTGTAGCAAGCCGCGATGACTGACAATACTCAGTTGGAGGTGGAGGAACCACAGAAAGTGCAGAAGGCGGTGCCATCATCGCCTGGCTTGGCCACCAAGATGCGTCCCACACGCTCCACTGCAGAGGAGCGGATCGATCAGAAGCTCAAAGAGGTCAAGCAGCACATGCCGCATTTCGACGACATGACCAGCTACATGAGCACTCTGCTCAAGCCGGTGAATGGCATGACCATGACCACGGCCAAAAAGACTGCTCCAGTGCAGCAGACCTCGCCGGGTAAGCCTTCATCGCCGGGCAGGGCTTCTTCGCCGGGCAGGGCCTCACCGGCCAAGCCCACTTCGCCGGCTAAGCACACCTTGGTACCCCCTCTGAGTGGGAATTCCTTGGTCAAGTGAGTTGCTTTGTAATTTCTTCGTATTTCATTGTAATTACCTAATTTATTTCATTTGAATTGAGGAGTTTGGTCTGCGGATGCAACCCGGAGACACAGTTACCTGGATCTCCAATACTATATCCATTTGACGATTCAATGGGGGTGCCTGGATCTCCTGTAATGGATCCATTCAATCGGATTAACGAGGTGGAGTTCATTCCGGCGATAATAACACCGCCGGATGTCGAGCCTGATGCCGAGCCGGATGACGAACCTGTTGCCGAGCCGGATGAAGAACCTGTTGTCGAGCCGGATGACGAACCTGTTGCTGAGCCTTTTGTGGAGCCCATTGGCATTGAGCCCGCATACGAGGCGGTAAATGCCTGGGAATGCGCTCAAGTGGACTCGACCGTCGAACAGGTCAGGGTGGTCGCCAGCGGCCTGACCATGTTCGCCCGGAATCGTGATGGCACCTATGACCTGTATACAGGCCTGCAGCCTTCGACGCCTGAGATGGGAAGTTCCAATTTCCGGGAGATAACGTTCAACGATGGGCCGCTGGTCATATTGACCCGCGACGACGAAGGCAAGCTCACTTACGATCCCAACGATGCGGTGACAATCGATATTGCAGACAACAGTCTGTTTGTTCTTAACACCGACGAATCCTCAAATACTTGAATAATTGACAATCGATATTGCGATATTAACGAACTCTCGAATACTTGAAAAATTGGTTACTTGTACAAAACTAGAATAAAATAAGAAGCTTTAAGAAATGTAAATATTTTAGAAAACATTTTGAAAATGCAGCGTTAAACTTCGAAAGCCTGGCAACCCTTGCTTTTCTATAAATAGTTTTCCTTGCATTCGCCATCTACTTGTCGAGTTTAATCCTTTATAGCAGTAGAATGTACTGCTTAATCTGTTATACTAGTCAGTAAAATGTACTGTAGAAAGTATATACATACAGTAAAATGTAAATATAAAAACGATTTTCCCGACAGATGGAGTCACCTTTGCTTTTTAAAACTGTAAAAAAAATTGAGTAAAATGTTGGTTACGAAAATTTTACAATTTAATATTAATTTAATTTTTTATCTATAAGCGAATCAAAGTATACATATATGAATTATTGCCGTTTAGTCTTGATATTTATAAATTAACAATTTTACAATATTTTACTTTTATGTTAGATATTTAGCAATATTTTTTAAATAATATATATCATATAGATGACATAGGATAGTTCAGGAAATTGATTTAAAAAAATTATAACTTTGTATGTTTTTAACATATTTTCATTTAAATTAAATTACATGATTTTTTCTATTTTTTAGAATTTCTGTTTTAATTTTATGCAAATCGGACGATTATATTATATAGCTGCCGTACAAAAGATCGTTAAATGTAAAGGATAATGCTGTGAATGCTAAACTGTAACTGTAAAACTGTAAATATAACATTTATTATGAATGTTATTTTAACACAAATATATATAATTTTAATTATTAATTAATTGTTTATAACAATATAAAATAATATAATATAGTATAGTATAATATAATATAATGTAATATTATTATATATATTATATATATTATATTTATTATTATTATAATTATTATATAATAATCTGCAAGGGCATCCTGTCAAAATTAGCTTCCTTCCTGGTTAAATGTAATTCCATTATTCAAAAACATTCATTTGCGCGCCTAAAAGCAGACTTTGGCGCCTTTATTACTCTCCGTGCTCTCGCTCTCTCCGCTCTCTCGCTCTCGTGACCACTGGACATCGTTTTCAGTCACGTGATCTTGCCGCTCACCGGCCGTAGTGGAAAGAGGAAAGTGAAAAAAAATGCGCGCAATTGCGGAGTGCTCCTGCTAAAAATCGTTTTTAGTCGCGAAAAAGTGCTTAATAATATCAACTAAACTAGTAAATCGGTTAAACTAAGTGCACTCTATGCGGGAACAATCAAAAATTCGCCAAATATGTGGATTTTCAATGATTAAAGATGAAATGAAAAGTGAGCGTCGCTTCTGCTGCCAATTGGAGTGGCGGCAGCGGCTAACGGAATGTGAAAAAGTCGTTTATTGTGCAAATGCCGCTGTGAACTTGACAAATAAGTTAATAACTAACTAATGTGACAACAAAAGAAGATATTTGTTATAGATTTATCAAGAACATATCGGTTTTAAGCCACTAAATCAGCTATAGAAAAAGTGAGACACCCGCGCACAATGTGAGACACCTGCAGCCGCCGCGGCGCGCGCCGTTATTTGCATGCATACATGCATACACACACACGAATGTGTGAGAGGAGTTGATGCATAGAAGAAGAAGGAGGAGAAAAGAAATTGCGTGCGTTGCTTTGTGTGTGCAAATTTACCGTTTCTTTTCATTCCGTTAGATTTCTTGTTGTCAACGCGTTCGTTTTGTTTTGTTTCTTTTGTTTTTTCAAGTGTAAACATAAAAGTGAAATGCCAATTAAATGTACGAAAGGAAATTGGTGTGTGTGTTGTGCAAGAAGTTTGTTTATTCTTTTTTTCAAGTGTAAATGTGAAGTGCAGTGCTAATTAAATATGCCAGAAGTAAATTTAATTTTTTTAAGTGTAAATAAAGTGCAAATTAAATTTTCATGAAGTTAATATATATTTTTGTTTCTTTTTTTTAAGTGTAAATATAAAGTGCAGTGCTAATTAAATATGCCAGAAGTAAATTTAATTTTTTTAAGTGTAAATATGAAGTGCAATACAAATGAAATTTCCAAGAAGTAAATATCTATTTTTGTCTATTTTTTTCAAGTGTAAATATAAAGTGCAAAGGAAATTAAATTTGCCAGAAGTAAATTAAATTTTTTAAAGTGTAAATATGAAGTGCAATGCAAACGAAATTTCCAAGAAGTAAATATCTATTTTTGTCTATTTTTTCAAGTGTAAATATAAAGAGCAGTGCTAATTAAATATTCCAGAACTAAATTAAAATTTTTTTAAGTGTAAATATGAAGTGCAGTGCTAATTAAATATTCCAGAAGTAAATTTAAATTTTTTTAAGTGTAAATAAGAAGTGCAATGCAAATAAAATTTGCAAGAAGTAAATATTTTTTTGTTTATTTTTTTTAAGTGTAAATATAAAGTGCAAAGGAAATAAAATTTGCCAGAAGTAAATTAAAATTTTCTAAAGTGTAAATAAAGTGCAAATTAAATTTGCAAGAAGTTAATATAGTTTTTTTTAAGTGTAAATATGAAGTTCTATGGAAATGAAAAATGTCTACGTTTCGTCGCTTTTATATTTTTTTTTTGGTTTTTTTTTTAAGTGATTAATTAATTAATACAAGAAATGTTATAAATTGTGTGATTTAAAAAATGTTTATAAATGGAAGGAAAGGAAATCGATAAAATCTCATAAGTAACCGAAATTGGATTAAAGAACGAAACAAATATAAACAAAATGGTAAGTGAAGAATTAATTTAATATTTATACATTATGCATATCGATTTCCTCTTAATTGAAATGAATAATTTGTGATCTTTGACGTGCGAATTTTTGTCTCTACTTTTATATGATCAGAAATTTATACTTGATTACGTATAAATCTATAATTTTAATAGATATATATATAAACATTAAATTCTTTAATTTTACTTATTCGTAAACAAGTTACCTCTAAAGTTGAAGTTCTCAGAAGTTGCTCGGCCAACTTAATCCATTAAAAAATTAATAATAATAATAATAATAATTAAAAACGCTTTGTATATATATTTTTTTAATATCATCCATTTTATTTCATCTAACTTTCATATATATAAGTATGTGTTGTTGTATGGTATGTGGATTTGTTGTGTTTTTTGTTTTTTTTTTTGCATTTTGTTTTATGTTTAATTACACAATTTGTAGTTAATCTTTTATTAATCTGTGAATTATGCTTGACAAAAATAAAGGGAAAATAGAGAGAAAATAGCAGCAAAGGGCAGTGGAGTTGAGGGATTTCCATTTTAATATATATTCGTTTTATTCTCAATATTTGATTGCGTTGATTGATTGATTGGGATTGAACTGGGTTGTTTTTCTTCCTTCTTTTTTTTCTTTTTTGGTATGTACATTTTTTACAGCAAAAAAAAAAAATCTTATTAAATTTAGGCAAAAAAAATTGGAGTCTTAAATGATAAAAAGCCTTCGTTCAGAGAAATGACAACTAAATTAAATCACATTTAGCATATATATATTTTAAAAATTTTCCTCGCTTAAATGCTATTATTTCGTGTCTGTGTGTGTGTGCTATTTATAAATAATTTAATATTTACATTACGCCGACGACAAAAAAAAAAAATTATATATATAAGACAATATTTAGAATATACTATCGAATATAATATATATATATTTATGTAATTATTTTTAATTAATTATATGTGTGGGTGTGTGTGTGTGTGCGCCTTAGGTGTATGAAAAAAATTGTTTCGTTTTGCTTGGTTTTCCATTTCTTTTTTTTTCTTATGAGTTTGCTGCAATTAATTAATTTATTTCAATTAATTTAATGCTTAGAAAATGTTCATTGTGTTCATTGCATGGTTAAGACGGGGAAAATTGAGAAAATCGGGGAGAGTAACATTTAATTCAGGAGAGAGTTTGCTTGAAATGAAATGCAGATTTACATGAAATAAAGCTTGATTCAGGTGGGAATAATATTAGTTAGCTTAGAAGAGATTGAAAAATAGGAAAAATTAAACTGAAATCTAGTTTAAAATATTGTTGCAGGGTTACAAAATTTCTTTCCCTGCCAGAAGATATTAAAAAAGTCAGGATTTAGACAGGATTTAATCCAAAACAGGACTCTCTCTCTCCGATTCAACAACTGTTTCTCCCTCAATTCTCCCATCGCCTTGTATAATTTTTATTTTTATTTTTTTTTGCTTCGTTGTCCTTAGAACAACACATCGATGTACATGTTTCATCTGGGCCCACTGTTGCTGGCCTGCTCCTGCTTCACCTTGAGCAGCAGCTGCTCCTGGAGCCGCACCTCGTCGTCGTGATCATCGCATATGTCGATGTCCCCCTCGCCATCCGCATCCGGATCCGGATCCACCTCGTTGTGCCCATCGACGTCGTCTAGGTCCCCATCACCATCCTTGTCCAGCTCCATATCCTCCAGGTCATCCTGCTCCTCATCTGGCTCCGATTCGGCAATGGTCACCGATACAGCGGCCGCTGCTGCTGCTGCGGCTGCCGCGTTGCGTGCATTTGCTGCGGCCGCCACTGCAGCAGCTGCTGCGGCAGCGGCAACTGCTGCCTCGGCATAACCGGCGGCAGCACCATGATGGTGCATATGCTGCAGTGCAGCCGCATGGTGGTGATGGTGATGGTGGTGGTGTTGCTGCTGCTGCTGCTGTTGCTGCTGCTGCTGCTGTGCCTGTTGCTGTGCCTGTTGCTGCGCCTGCTGTTGCGCCGCAGCAGCCGCTGCTGCCTGCTGCTGCTGCTGCTGGGCCTGCTGCAGTTGCTGCAGATGATGCAGATGCTGCTGCTGGTTGTACGGATGATGTGGCTGCGGTCCAGCTGAACCCGATCCTTGCTGCTGCTGCTGCTGCTGCTGCTGTCCCTGTCCCGGTGCCTGTTGTCCCTGCTGGCCAAGATGCTGCAAGGCGGAGGCATCAGCTCCACCACCAGCCTGGTGCAAGTGCTGCTGCTGCTGCTGCTGCTGCTGCTGGTGATGATGGGCGGCTGCTGCGGCGGCGGCTATGTGGGCATGAGCCTGCGCCTGGGCCTGGGCATGGGCGTGGGCGTGGGCGTGGGCGTGGCTGTGCTTGTGATGATGATGATGATGGTGATGGTGGTGGGGCCCCTTCCCCGAGGCCGGCGGCGGGGCATCGAAGAGGAGACGCGAGATCGAGAAGCTGGAGATGGGCGAGTTGTGGGTGCTGCCCGCCGAGTAGCTAGTGTTGGTATCATCCGAGGTCGGTGTCTCCCTGTCGCTCTCGTCGCTCTTGAGCAGCTCAGCGGCTTCCAGGGACTTTTTGTGCATCCCCAGGAGCCAGGGTGCCACGGACTCGTCCTCCTTGGCCGACTTGATGATGGTCTCCGGCAGCGGCAGCGAATGCCTCACCATCGCCCCATAGAGGCCATATTCGGCCATTTTGGTGCTGTGACCCCAGCACTTTTCCGTTTTGCGCCACTTGGCCCTTCGGTTCTGATACCACACCTGTAAAAGTCCAAAAGAGAGGAATCCACAATTAGTTTGCTTTATTAATAATCGTTATTTGTTAATTAATTGAGATATATTCAGTCGGGGTTGTAATTATCTTCTTCGCTTTGCAACTCAATATGCAATTAAAGGCGTCAGAGGAAGGAAAGTCCCCTTTTTCTTTTGCAAAGTTCATTCAACTAAATATAGGTTGGAGGGTCCTTGTTATTATTTTTAGCTTAGCTTTCTTCCTTTCTCATTTCTGGTTAAAAATCAAACATATATGGCATACTTCTACAACTCTATTAAATAATCTCACTAAAAATAAACAAAACCCTTATAAAATCCAAAGTTTGAAGTCATTATTCCCATAACAAGTCGATCGTGAAACCAAGTTATGAAGTTCAGGGTATAAAATTCGCTCATAATGATTTATGGACACAGAAAATGACTGATAAATCGGGTTTCCTACAAGTTAAACAGAAATTAATTAAGAAATGAAGTGGGAAGAGCCATTGAATCTTTATATATATATAGATATTTTTCAGGGATTAAGCCTGATTGTTTCCAGAAAGAAAGAGAGACCAGGACAATAACGATTACCAGCACAGCACCCAAAACTAATTAAATTAACATGGAAAGGGGGTTTTTCCATTTTCCCCCTTTTCTGCTTTTCAAATCTCTCTCTCTCTCTCCCTCAGACAGACAACACTTGTCACGCATCCCCTGAAAACACGAAACAAAAAATTGCAATTCAAACTCAAGTACTTATTAGTAACAACATTAACATTAACATTAAGGGAAATGCTGCCAGCCGACGCTCGACGCTCGACATTAAACGGTCAATTTTCAATTTTCGCAGACAAGTTTGCGGGCCGCCCTTTTTTCCCCGGGACAACTTAATCTTCTGTTGTGAAAAGTTCAACTTTTCCCAGGGTTGCTGTTGCCACTCTGCTTCTGTGCTGCATGTGCCGCAATTCTCCAAGGACCCAAGGAGAGAGTCCCTTTTCTATTGCCACGCGGCCACGGCCTCTACTGTCTATTTTGTGTTGTTGTATATATACACATATATTTGTTGCTGTTGTTGTTAGTATTTTTAAATTTTATTCCTCGGTGTGATGTCAACATTTGCATTTACAGTTGTTTGCCTTGTTTATTGTTGCACTTGAGCGGCGGCCGAGACGAGCACGAAAAAAGCAAAGTGAAAACATGGCAAATTAAATCTGCTTGAGTTGACAACACTTAACACACCCCCGTCCCTCCCTCCCTCCCTCGCCCCTTCCTTCCTTCCGTTTCCTCTAATGCTCAATGGTGGTGTATAGTGTACTGTGTAGCGCAGTGTACACTGTCCCAGGGGGCAGGGGTTGGGTTGTGTTTTGGGCGGACAAACTCAATCAGTGTTGCTAATGCGCTGATTAATGACTTTTTAAAATGCGCCTAGCCTGGCGACCGTGTGCTGCTATTTATGAAATTGGCACATTATTTAAATATTTTGTAACACACTTTGGCCGGGGTTAAGTGAAAATTTATGCATTTTTTAATTCTTCATACACAAAAAAGCTTAATTATTGCTACACAAATAAAAAATTCAGTGTTTAATTAACGAAATTTGATAGTTTCTTGCACTTTGCAATAGAAATATAGGATCACAGGATTCAGGGGTTAGTTTTAATTAGGTAAATCTAATATAAATCTGCATTTTCATTTTAAAACAAATAAAAACTCATAACTGAGCCAAAAAAGCATAAAATTCAATTCGGGAAGCTGTTCTGTGCTAGTTTTTAATATATTAATAAATCTGCATACTCAATTTAACATTTAAACAAATTTCAAATTTTTCCATTTTTGGAAATTTCCACAGATGGAAAAATTTAATCATAAAATTACACAAAAAAAATTTCAAAATTTGTTTTCTTTCTAAAATGGCTAGATCGACTCGGCTTTCGGTGCTGATCAAGAATATATATGAATTATAGGGTCGGAAATAGCTCTTTCGTAAGTTATAAGCTTCTGACTGAAATTATAATGCCATTCTTTGAGCCGATATTTACCTATATTTATATGACAATTTGCTCTACAAACCAAAATCTAAAAACCTCATAACTAAGCCAAAAAAGCATAAAATTCAATTCGGGAAGCTGTTCTGTGTTAGTTTTTAATATATTAATAAATCTGCATACTCAATTTAACACATTAACAAATTTCAAAATTTTCCATTTTTTGAAGCCTTGAAAGATGTAAAAATTTAATCATAAAAATAAAAAAAAAATTTCAAAAAATTTGTTTCTCTTTTTTATACCTAGAAAGATTTGCCTATTTATGCTGATCAAGAATATATATTATTTATAGGGTCGGAAATTTCTCATTCACATAAAAATATGCTTCTGACTGAAATTATAATACCATTCTTTGAACCGATATTTATCTATATTTATATTACAATTTGTTCTAGAAATCAAAACCTAAAAAACTCATAACTAAGCCAAAAAAACATTAAATTCAAGTCGGAAAACTGTTCTGTTCTAGTTTTTAAAATATTAACAAATCTGCATACTCAATTTAACATTTAAACAAATTTCAAATTTTTCCATTTTTTAAACCTTGAAAGATGTAAAAATTTAGTCATAAAATTACACAAAAAAATTTCAAAATTTTTTTCTTTCTAAAATGGCTAGATCGACTCGGCTTTCGATGCTGATCAAGAATATATATGATTTATAGGGTCGGAAATGGCTCCTTCACATCGAAACAAGCTTCTGACCTAAATTATAACATTATATTATAAGGGTATTATTTTAAGCTCAATTTTTATACTAATATTATTATTCAAGGGATTAAAGTCCTATAAAAAATATAATTTTTTTATGTTTTTAAGCTTGAAACGAAAAGGAACAAAATTATAATAATGCGGAAAGGAAAGCCAGAGGGATAAAAAATGCAAATAGCAATTTGTTAAACGCTTTTGTTGCCAGCCATAACCTCTTTTGTTTAAATGTTAATTACATAATTATGCATAATCATTTTTAATTCCATTTTTTCCCCCTCTTTGTGTGTGTGTGTGTGTGTGAGTGTGCGTTGATATTAACAGCTCATTAAAAGCGCAGGAGAAAAGAAACAGCAGAAGTGTATAATTAATGCAAGCGTTACAAACAAGGAGCAACAAAATTATGCAAAAATAGAAAACAAAAAACAAAAAAATTATTACGTACATATGGCGCAAGCAATTTGTAATTTGCAATTTCAGTTGCAGTTTTTTAGTGTTACATTTAATTTGAATGCTTGGCAAACAACAATATGAAATGCAATTTGTGTTTTCTTTTAATTCGAACTTATAATGGATACTCTTGGAAAAAACTCAAGGATAACCGGAATCTATGGAATGGATTGCTCGAAATAATTGATACTCCATTGTTTCCTTTAATTGGAAGTTTTGGAATCTTGAGATTTCCGTTCAAGGATGCTCGAGGAGCCTCGAGAATTTACAAATGCAACTCTCTTCCTCTTCCTTTGATGTGTGCAAGTGCAGCGATTTCCTTTGACAGTTTCTTTTGTGCCTGGAAAGTTGAGAACTTTGGTTGGAAGTGGCAATTTCCATGCAATTTTTTTAGGTAAATTCACACAATTTGAACATGCGGTTGAGTGCAATTTCTTTGCTCTTTTGCATATTTAATGCATTTTTCATTGTTTTTTCGTTTTGCGATTGTATCAAACGGTTATTCTCTTTGTTTTTCCCCTTTTTCCCGGGTAAATTAGCAGCATAAGAGCAGTGAGGTAAAAAAGTCCAGGAGAAGGAGCAGAAGTAGAGTAGAAAAAGCATTAGAAGAAGGAGCAAGAAGAGGGGAAGAGCCAATTGCAAAAAATTGGAAAAAGAAATGCAGCTCCTAGCTTCGTCCTTGTCGCACCTTGAGGTTTTTTTTGTACCTTAAGTTATTATTATTACCTAAATAATTTATTTTTAGCGCAATTAAAGCATATTTATTTGTAACTTTAATTAAGAAAACAATTATCTTGATTTATATTTTTCGATTGTGACAATTTTGTCGCCTGATCGCTGACTTTTGGCAGTGGCTACATTTTTGGCAACATCCAAATATCCAAAAAGCAGCAAGAGCAAGGGAGAGGGCACGAAAGCAAAGCTTTTTTCCAGTGTGCGAGCGAGAAAGCGGAACATGTTTGGCCATGTTTCTTTTTCTTACTTTCAACGGGCAAAAATAAGCAAAAAAAGAAGGTTTTTTAAGAAAAAACGGGGGAGAAATGCATAAAAAAAATACAATATATGTATACAGAGAACAGAAACAAACACACACACAATACGGGAAACGCACGCAAAATGGAATGCAATTAAAAACGGCAGGCAAAAAAACACAAAAAACCCAAGAAGACTGGAGGAAGCAGGAAGAGCGAGAGCGAGAGCGAGATGGAAGGAACTTTTAATGGTGGCTTCGATTTGCCGTTGTTTTTGCATTTGCATGGCTGCCGCTGCCGTTACTCTCTGCCGGCCTTCTCTTCCCTCTTCCCTCTTTCCACTTCCTCTTTCGGCTTCCCATCCTTGTAGTGCTGCTAATGATTGCCTTTGCCCCCCTCTTCTTCTGCTTCACCTCCCCCCACTCCTCCCTCCTCTCTTTTTTGCGATTCCCGAGCGGCTTTTTTTTTCAAGCTGTGCGCCATATTTGCACTTAATTGAAGTGTATTTGCATGTGTGTGTGTACGTGTTTTGAGTTATTTGCGTGCGTTTTATATTTACTGCAGCTCTCTTCCCTCTTTTTCCGCACCTTTTTTTGTTGCTGCTGCTTCTGTTGTTGTTGCTTTTGTTGTTTTTGTGTTGCCTTTCAGCCAATTGTGCTTGTTAATTTGATTTTCACACACACACACACACACACACACACACACACACACACAGAGGCGGAGACACACACACACAAATAGCAGGATGCACTCAGAAAATGATGCATATATGCACTCACACAACGTGGCGCCATCTTGCGGTTTATCAAGTGGTTAATGGAATAACGGGAGTTACGAATTGGAAATTATAAAAGAAAAGGGGGGGGGAGCACCTGCAAAATGGTCGATATCGGGGAAAGCTTTATCATTAGCCTTTTTAATTGGCTTTATTATGACAATTAGGGAATTACCTTTGTCTTCTAGATAATTATAGTAATTTATTGAAATTTAATTCATAAATATAGATCGATTATTATTCCATTAAAACCAGGATAATATGCTCATCACACCATTTTTATCATATTGATTTTACCAATACTGTAAGATCGATTTTAAACTCCTTAAAAAGTATTTCCATAAGCTTCTAATATGTGAAAAGCTAAGAAATAATTTAAATTTGTCTTCAAATATTTAAAATATCTAAATTTCTATAAAATCAAACTTGGAAAATGGGTTCATAAATTGGAAAAATGAAGAAAATAATTTCAAAATCGATATAGATTAGAGATTTTTTGAAAATCATTGCATCTTCTCAATCTTAGATTTTTAATATATTCATTTGATTTTTTGTTAAAACAATTTATTACAAGCAATGGGCACATGATTAATAATCGAAAAGTACTATATTTAATATTCTTATATCGCTTTCTGTAAGTTATCGATGTTTTCTAATATATTTATCGACCTATGCATGCTCTACTATCGTTCTAATTTGTCAAACATTAATTATGAGCTCATTTAAATCTCTAAGAATACCTGGGACATTATTAAAAACTCTTTATTATTATAACTAATAAGATATTATAGCTAATATGCATATTATATATATATCCCTTTATTCTCATTCGATCCCAGACTGAGGCCTTTAAAATCCCCTTGAGTATATGATATTATGTTAAAATTTCACCTTTGACCCTTATTAACGCCTTCAGCAACGATGGCTTTCATCATTACAAAAGTTTAATTTGCAATTTTGTGGCTCACACCTCGTCTGCCTCTTTTGCTTTTCTTGTGAGTTTCGTTTTTTGAGTATTTTTTTGTGTTGTTTTGTTTTTTTTTTTGTATTTTTTTGTGTGTTTTTTTTGGAGTGTCGGCGAGTGCCGCTTGCCACGTTTTCTTACTTCTGTTTCCGTTTTTGTTTCGCTACTTGGACGTTGCAACTGCGATTGTATGCACTCGTAATTATGTAATCAGCGGAGGCCTCATTACGTGTGGCAACACTTGCAATGCCATCGGGGGGAGTTCTTATATAAGGACTCGGAAAGCGGCACACAGACTCCCCTCGAATCGAAGATGCCTGGCCTTTGATTGCAATCTTTACGAGTGCGGCCATAAAAAAGAAAGCCATAAAATGGCAGAAAGGCGGAAAGGCGGAAAGGAGACCTGCGCATCCTCAGTCAGATTCTGCATTGCTACGTGATGGACCCCCAGTTTCTGTTCTTCATCGAAAAATAAACCCCAAAAGTCGCATTCCAAAATGGAGAACTTGATTTACACAGATGTCAATCAAGGACTAAAAGAAGCTCTTTGGGATTTGGAAATTCTAAAGCAATCAATAAGGAGTTCTTCCAGGATATTTTCCCGCTTCAATATATATATTTATCTTGAGTAATCACCTGAATTCGATCCTCGGCCAGTCCAGTTTTCATTGACAACAGCTCTCGGGCGCTCACATCCGGATAGTGGGCCTCTTTGAAGGCCTTCTCCAGCTCCTCCAGCTGGCTGCTGGTGAAGATCGTCCTGCCATGTCGTCGCTTATTTTTCTTCTTGCCACCGGGACCCGTGCCTCCAGGACCCACAAGGACATCGCCTGCATGGGCACCCAGCAGGCCACTGGGATTGCCACCAGCACCGCCGGCGGCGCCAAGGAATGCCGCTGCCTCAGCATGATGCACATGGGCATGGGCGGCGTGGGCGGCATGGGCATGCACATGGGCGTGGGCATGGGCATGGGCCTGGGCATGGGCATGATGGGCATGGTGGGCGGCGGCCGCGGCAGCGGCATGATGATGGGCGGCGGCCGCGGCAGCCGCTGCATGCTGATGGGCGGCCAGAGCGGCCGAATGATGGGGACCGGCGGCGGGCGAAGAGCGATTGGCCGAATTGCCACTGCCGGCGCCACCACCGGAGGCGGAGGAGCTACTGCCTCCCGAGCCAGAGGCACTGGTAGCTGGCCCCGAACCCGAAGCGGAACCAGCGGCTCCAGAGGCGCCATTACTCGTTGTGGGTGAGCCCAGGTGACTTAAGCCATTGCTGGCCACCTGGTTGGCTCCTGATCCTCCATTTGTCGATCCGGAACCATTGCCATTTCCCGATGAGTTGCTATTCTTGCTGGGCGACTGCTCATCGCCACTGGCATTGGCCAAACTGCTGGCGTACTCCTGACCACGAGCGGCAGCTTGTTCTGCGGGGGAAGGGTGGAAAAAGGATAAAAATTAGAATGATATGTGGCTCATAGTTGGGATTTATAATTAAGAGGGGTCTAACCGGGTTTTAATATACCTAACATACTTAAAACTTACCTTAAAATGGACTTATTTATATAATTTATATTACAATTTACTTATTTATTCTACGATTTAGATTTAGAGGAGTTTTAACCCTCTTTTTGGGCGCCTCTTTTTCCTCATAGAATTTGTGGCGCTCGCTAAACACATGTCGTAGGATATGTTCCTGCCCCCCTCTTCCTTGATCCTTTGTCAAATCTCGAACCTAATCCCTGTCTCAATCCTATTTCCTTTAAATGCCAGACAATGGCCCGGACATAGGAGATATTCGAGCTGCTGCCACCACCACCGACATCAGCATAAAAAGTTGATTTTTCGCACACGATAAAGCCGGCAGCTGGAAAATTGTTCCATGTTCCATGTTCCATCCTTGAAGCCCCTTTCAATTGAATGTCGCGCAGATTTTGACAAGTTGCCAGGATTTTTATTCAAATGTCAGCGAAGGGTTAACCCATGTTTTCATGTTTCCATGTTTGCACCTTCCCAGAAAATCGAGAAAATAGCAGCACACACACACTCGCACAGAACAAATGTTTTCCTTTTGGGCCCGCCAGCTCCTTGGAGGAAAAAGGAAAAAGGAGGCAGGAGCAGGACGAATGTCGGTTTCGTGTGTGCTGGCTTTGTTTTGACAATTAGGGTGTTAGGGTGTTAAGTGCTTTAGCCCTTTTTTGGGTCTCAAATTAAACGGGAATCGGCTTAGGCGTGTTGGCACAGGGCGTTCTATTGTGAGTGCCGATCCTTGAGGATAATGACGATAATAGGGATAATTCTACCTCTTCAGTTGGTTGCTGGTTTCCGGCCACCTAATTTGACCAATATGTATCTATTAGTCCAAGATCCGATTACATTGTCTTATTAAGAATAGGGATTTTGGGAGAACTCTGGAGTTGTTCCTTTGAAATTACCAAGTAATTCTCAATACTAATGATAATAACTATCATTAATTGAATTATTCTTATTAATGTTAATGTTAATTATTTATTAAAGCCTCATCATTTAATGATTGACCACTTAAAGGCATTATATTCCTACCCCCCGCACTTAATCATCATCATCAAATGAAACTCTGGTCAACTTTCCAATAAATTAGGCACATGCCATGGCAAACTAATTTGACCCTACGCATCCTATTCAGTTCTGTATATATACAATATGCATATATATAAATATATGTAAATAGCTCGAGCGTTGCTTTTATTGCCTGGCTACTTTGGCGGCATAATTAGACACACATCAATTAACAATTAGCTGGTCAGCGAACGACAGCTGACCACTAACCCCGACCCTCACTATACCGGACTATATATACACATATATATATCTAAATATATACATATGTATAGATTGACTCAACCAGAGTCAGACCCTCGCAAAACTGCTTTAAAAGCACTCTCATACACTTATAAATAGCCATTATATTGCTACATAGAGTATATATATATATATATATATATATCGGAGAATGGTGATTGTAGCGGGGGGACTGGTGAGTGGTCAGCCACTTTGGCCAGCTATCGATATCGTCTACACTATTCAAAATTGGGTGTACTCTTCAGAGAGGAAAAGGTGAAGAGAAAATGCTTGTAATTTGGATAGTAAATAGGAGAAAATTGAGTTTAAATATAAGAAGAAGTGACTGAATCAAGGAACTTTAGAAAATCTATTTTAAAATTAGGAATTCTATATATTTTGTTTAATATACTAAAATATAAAAGGCAGAAGGACCTACAGAGATAGCTTTAAAAGTAGCAAAACCCATAGAGTAGGAAAACTATCAAATAAATAGGAATAACAAATAGTTAAAAGTAAATACTATTATAAGCAAATCTCCTCCATTAGGGAGTGCATATTCTAAGGCTATAGAATTTCTCTCAGTGCTCAGAGCTCTCGTGCCTGGTCCAGCCTCGAGTTGAGTTCAGTTCTGAGTTCTGTTCGGTTCGTCAACTAATTTAATTTGCTGCTCGGGTAAGTCAATCGGGGCATGAGTTGCTTGATTTTCCGTCATGCGATATTTTGTGCCCCCCCGCCCCCCTGCCCTCGTCTGCATTTTGCCATTTTCCTCATCCATTTTCATTCCCATTTCGCTGAGTTTTCCTCTCTCGTTTTCCGCCTAAATTAATTTGATATGTACACGCGGTGTAGTAGTTCTTTGCGGAGTGAAATGTATACGAGCGAGCCTTGGGCCGAGTCCTTTTGTGTGTCCTGGAGACCCTTGGACATTGGCCTGCCATTGTGGTTCGATTAATTGTTCAATTAAGCAATATTTTGATCGAATGGCTTTTGTTTTCTGCAGGGAGGTGAGGGAGGTAGCAGCATTCCATGAATTTTCATTAACTGCCCAGCGAATTGGTCACGATAATGTGCCAATTTGATTATTATTATTTGCCATTTGTTACCTGTGGGGGGGTGTTTAATTGGTGGGGAAATAAAACTATGGGGTTTTAAAGATCCAATTTATACGCATTAATATTCTTCTTACATGAGTATACTTCTTGAACTTGGATAAGGTTTATCCCATGTAGTATTTATTGTTTTAATTTCTCCTGGCTGGAACTGGCTCCCTTAACCTATCCCCATTGAGTGAGTTAAATTTATGATTCCGACTCCCTGTAACAACTCGTCCTGATAAATGGCAGCCGTCCAAGGAGCAGCAGCAAACTACTACTACAACCCGCAAAAAAGGACCAAGTCCTAGGACCAAGGACCAAGGACCCCCCGCCAACGTCCACAGACGAATTGTAAAATTACCAATAAAGTCAAATTGAAATTGCCAGACATATTAATAAAAGCCAAGCAACCAACCACCGCCAATGCCAACGAGGACCACCACCATTTGGGCATTGGCATCAGGAGTAAAGTACGCCGCAGGAGCAGGCACAGGAGTTGGATCTATGCCTCTTCTCGGGCATCTTTCTATTCCGATTACACTGTTCCAAAAAGCAGGAATTGCAAGGCATTTAATATATTTTTCCAATTGAAAATCCTTTTACATATTTTCAAGTGCCTGCCCTTTTAGGTATGCTACACATTTTGTCTATAAAGTATTTCTTTTATAGTCGGGGGCTTTTCTCTTTAGTTTTTGCTCTATTTTTTCTAATATTTTTTTAAACATTTTATTATTTTTTCGAGTGCATTGCGTAGGCAAACGATTCAGTGGATGGGCCACGCGGGTGCCACCAATGAGCTCGGTGGCAAGGAGCAGATGAAGCAAACGGAAACCGACGCCCCCTTAGGCAGCCTCCCCCTATCAACGATTTATTTTTTATTTTCCCTCCTCTTGGCTTCTCTTTTTTTTACATTTCTTGTGTTGCCTTGCTTTTAATTTTATTTTCACCGCCGAGAGGGAAAAAGAAGGAAATTTCTGTTGACAGGAAATACACTCGAAATTGGCAATTTTGCATTTACGTTAATAATACTCAAGCGTATTTACTACTTACACTTACACAGGGACGTAGGAGGGGGCGGTGAGTGGGGGGGGGGCTGGTTGTCTAGGCGGAAAATGGGGACACAAACCGTTGGGTGGTGGGTGGGTTTTTTCTCGATTTTTCCCCCAGCCGTTTTGGCTGTTTTTTCTTGTACTTTTTTTGGGTTGGTTCCGAAATGAAAAGCGTATTTATTCGCGCCCAGAAAAGGGGGTGGTTCTATGGGGCTTCTGGGGGTTGGCTCGGCGCAGAAAGACGAGGGCTAAGTATAGAGCTGAGCCAATATGACGCGCAATTATTTGTAATGGAGACGTAAATAAGTTGAAGAAGCAAAGTGGCAAAAGAAAAATGGCAAGGAGGCAGGGAGGCAGGGAGGCAGGGAGGCAGGGAGGCAGGGCAAGGCTCTTCTCGGTGGGTGGTTTAGTGGGTGGTTTTCTGGGGCTCAACTTGTTAGTTGTTACACAACGGAGCGCACAGCACGTTGCCTTTTGTCTTTTGGGGTTGCTTTTTCGGCTTGTCTCCCAATTTTCCCCGGGTGGTTGAAAGACAACAGCATTTTACGGTGGGGTTTTCCACCAGTGGGTGCCTCCTCGCCACGGAGGTGGGTGGTGTTAAGTGCGGGCGAGAGTGGACGTCCCGCAGTTAGCTCGTTAACTCGATTTGCGCTCCGTTGCTATTGCTATTGCTTTTCCCTTTTTCCCTTTTTCCCTTTACCCCCCATTTGCCGTTGCTGTTGTAATAAATACGAAAAGGCGTTGTTTTTCCAAGATGGCGGATGGTGCGTGTGTGTGTGTGTGTGAGGGTGTGGAAGCGGGACAGACAAACAAATGAAAGTTTTCACTTCAAAAACCCAAAAAGAGTTTTAAAGAAGAAACTCAATTAGAGGGAGTTTTTGCTAATTAATCTATTAATTTATCTTAAAGCTATGAAAATCATGTATTTAGGTTTGTAAAACAATTTATTTTAATATTGTAAATATTTCTTTTTATATTTTAAATTATTTTTTTATAACAATTGAATGCTTCAATTAATGTATGACAGTGGAAAACTTTACTTTTTGACTAAATTTTATTTATTTTAACTTCTCAGATTTAAGACTATTAATTGTAGACTGTTTTCTAAGTTAAATATCCCCATAAAACATATTTTTTAGAAGTACTATTTTTTGTATTTATTAAACCCTTACAGGGTATTATAATTTCAGTCAGAAGCTTGTTTTGATGTGAAAGAGTCTTTTCCGACCCTATAAATCATATATATTCTTGATCAGCATCGAAAGCCGAGTCGATCTAGCCATCTCAGACAGGAAACAATTTTTTGAAGTTTTTTTTTGTATTTTATGATTTAATTTTAACATCTTTCAAAGTTTCAAAAAATGGAAAATTTTGAAATTTGTTTAAATGTTAAATTGAGTATGCAGATTAATAAATATATTAAAAACTAGCACAGAACAGCTTTTCGATTTGAATTTAATG